AGGGTGTTTGCTCAGGAGAGGTCCCACCCCCGGCCCGGTGTCAGCACCAGGAGTCAACCAAGGCACTTGCTGGGATCCCCCTGCCCAGACTTGGGCTGTGCCTCCAGGTTCTCTCCCCACTGTGCTCTGTGCTGGCTCTGTGCTGTTCATAAACCACTTTTCTTCTGGTGACTGTAGTGGAAACGTTCTAGAAATTTTTTCAATTAGCTGAGGAAACTAAAATAATGAGCCCTTGGGAAGGAAGGAGCTCGTTTCTCAAGGAAATGCTCTCACCCATCTTTCCTCAGCCCGGCTACAAGCACTTCCATAAGAAACACCACCTTCATTTTCAATGCCACTCGAGGAAAACGTTTGTTTTCTGTTAACAGGCCTGGACAAACTGCACCTTCAGCTCTCCCAGCCCTCCCCAGCCATGTGACACATCGGCGTGTCCCAGAGCTGCAGCTTCGGCCCATCCTGCTCATGGAGGAAACGATGATGAGAGCAGGGCTGGTCACAATTGCTCCAGCACAGCAGAGCTGCACGTGACCTGCACAGCTCCCTGTTCCTCCTTAGTGCTCTTCCTGAAGAAAAAAGCTGTGTCTGTCCCACCAATGCCACCAGAACTCATGCTGAGGAGTTAACGAGGAAGGCAAAGCCAGTTCCAGATTAAACAGACACTCTGGTTACAGGGGGAGAAACTCAACAACAGGGGCAGCCAAAGGCATGGTGGCCACAGAGAGTTCCTCTCTCCCAGTGGTTTAGAAAGCATGGGATAGATGAAATCTTCAAACCAAAAAATAGCAGCATTAAACAGTGTCTTTATGGGCTCAAACCCAGTGGCCCAGGGATGGCCCTGAGCGCTGGCACTGCAGCCCCACGGGGCTCCCCAGTGACCCACGTCGGAGGAAGTGGCTTCCTCTCATTCACACAAGGTTGTGATTTTGTAATGGGAAAAGGATGAGCCAGAGCAGGACGTTTCCCTCCTGCCACCTCCCCTCCCAGATAATAAAGGTCAAAGATTTTTCTTGGTCTATAACTTTATCTCTGGGACGCTCTGTCTACAGAAAAACTGTTACCAAAGGAACTGGGTTGCAGGTTTTTAAGGAAGAGAACAGCAAACAGGAAGCACAAAGGTGTTCATGCAGTGAGAGGTGGATTGTCCCAGGACCCACCAGCAGCACTCGCACTGGGGGCTCCTCTCCCCGCCTGGGGCCTGGCCAGGGCTGGGGCACAGGCAGGGCAGCTGTGTCACAAGAAAAAGGCATCTGCTTATCTCCTGTGCTGCTTTGGAAATCCAGGACCAGCCTACGGCCCAAATACTTCCTCTGGGATGTTGCAATAAGGAGCTGCTGGCTGGGCCGGAGCCCGGTCGGTGCCGCCCGGCAGCGCAGCCCTGCCCGCGGTCACGGCCCTCGCCCTCGGTGCTGGCTGGGCACCCACGGCTGCTGGGCTGTCCTGCAAGGTCCAGGAGCTGTGGGGAAACCTGGCCTTGAGACAGCAGCAGCTGTTTGCAGCAGGACAGGAGCACCCGACCCCGGTGGGAAGCAGCCCTGTGGCCCTGCTCGCCCCACAAACCACTGGGCTGGTTATTCAGCCCCAGCCCGGACTGTGGTGATCCCCGGGGTGCCGATGGGCCGGATCTGGGTGCATGAGCTGCCCTGCCCACAGAGCCACCCAGGGCATTGCTCAACCCACAGAGCTTTGAGCAACAGGTACCAGGCAGGGGAAGTCCCAGCGCTGGCATTCAGCCAACGGGCACCCACAGGCACCAACAGCACAGCCGGGAAGGGGCCGTGTCACCCTCCTGTCCTCCGAGCTCACGGCAGGAGGGGCCTCAACAAAACCACTCCTCATGTGCTCCAGGTAGCCTTTCCTCAGCAGTGACGTCCCAAACCACAGGACCAGCTCCTTGCTGTCACCTGCCTGCCTTCTGCATCTTCCTCTTCTGTGCCACAAGCACCACGACTGGCACTGGGAGCCCTCCATGCCCAGGTGCAGCTGGTTCTTGGGAGCACAGCTGAGGGCAGGAGCTCAGGCACTGATCCCCATCCTGGGAGCAGATGTCTTCAGCTCCAGCTGGGAACAAACAGCTGGAACACACAGAGGTTTAGAAATCAAATTCTGCCGCTGTACAAATATTTTTGGTAATGAAAATAAACAGAGACATGGGAGTAACATGCTGCCTCCTGCTACTATGCTCCCAGGAGGAGATGAGCTGCCAGAGAGCAGAGGGCCTGAGCAAGAGCAAGCGGGTGACAGGGGGGTGATGGCTCACAGGAGGCTGTTCACTTCCAGAGGCCACACAACAGGTCCAGCCCTGCAGGATGGCCAGCAGGCATTGCTGAGGCAGGAAACTGCCCAGCAGTGGTCCCTTGGGGGAAGGAGAGCCCCAACACCCCTCCAACACACAACCCCTCGTGCCAGCTCCTCAGCCGGGTTCCCGGGGGGATCCACAGCTCCAGGGGATGCTCCATGTTGGCACTTTCTGTGCCGGCTGGGGAAGGATCTCTCACCTCTGTACCTCAGTGAGGGGCTGTCCTGCAGTGTCTGTTCCTTCCCACTGACCCCCAGCCAGGGGAGAATGAACACCCCTTGAGGGAGCCACCGGGCACGCTGGGCACACTGATTTACCTCCAGCTCCTCTGCCAGCAGGCTCCCAAAGCAAAGCCTCCACTGCTGGGGAATCAGATCCTGCTCCAAAAGCCTGGCCAGATCCCTCAGGATTTGAACTTGTGGTTCTTCGACTGTCAGAGCGGAAAAGCTCTGATTCCAGTAAAGCAGCATCCCCAGCCAACACGGCAACACTTTCCAAAACCCCAAGCACTGGTGTATTTAGATTTGCCTGTAGCAACAGCAAGGATGATGTTTTTATGCAGAGGGAAGGCAGGAAGGCTGCAGGGGCGGTGTGAGGAGCCTGTAACTGCTCCTGTACCATGAAATAAATGAGGGCATGGCTGGAACAGAATGTGAACGCTGCAGCACATAAACAGAGATGTTCCTTGCAGCACAGACACTCAGAAAACACGTGTATCTCCAGGCCCTCTGCTCATTTTTACCTCCCGCTACAAGGCCAATATTTTTTAACGATAGATGTTTAAGAGAGAAGAAAGCAACAGCAGCTCAGCAGAGAGCTGTTAAGAGCTCTATGCTTTTGTGCAGCCAACACAGCAAGCTGCTTCCCACCCCCGGATCCAGAAATCATCCTCTGGTTACTCTGCACTGAGCTACACAGAAAAGAATTATCCCCTTTCCTGCAGACCCCTGGGAATCACGCAAGGGATGAGAGACACAGTGGTACTCAGGAGCCTGTGGCTTCCCTCCTGCCTTTGCCTCAGCAAATTAGCTTTCCCCTTTGTTTCAGGAAAATTAAGGGAATTACAGAAAAGAAGTAACAATACATTAAAAATACTGGCTAGCAAGTGCCATGTCCCAGTCTAGCTGGAGAGTTAAAAAGGAAATCAATTCTGGGCATTAACATCAGCGTTTTCTGGATGCTGCAGTGATTATACTGCTGAATGTACTGCTCCCATCATCTCTGCCAAACACCCACACAGACACATGACTCCAGCTACCCTCACCATCCCTGTCAGGAGGACACCTCATGACCATCTACTCCAGTAACACCAAATTCTCTGCCCTGTCAGGTGCACTTGGCCTGAGGAGCCCTGCAGGAGGTCTGGCAGTGCACAGGGCACATCCCCAGCATCCCCTGGCAGAGCCTCCCCTGCTCCCAGCTAATGCTGAGCATCTCCTGCTGCAGGTTCTGCTGGAGCTGCCCTCACCTCACCTCCAGCGCTGCCATGGGACCGCAGGCTCTGCCCTGTGAGTCCATCGTGGCACAGGAGCACCAGGCCAGCAATGAACCCCTGTGTTATCAGGATTAAAAGGCAATGGTTCTGTGTTAATTGCTTTTTTGTTGACTCACCCACACTGAGCACTGAGCCATCTGATGCAGTGCTGCTTGGCTGGGAATGGAGAACGGACTGGGCAATCCACTCCTGCCCCGGGGGAAGCTCACGGGGGTGTCACAGGACAGCACTCAGGAGGGGGCTGCTGGGGCTTTCATTCCTGCAAGAGATGAAACCAAACACTGGGGTCACAGGCACCCTTCCACAGGACAGGGCTGGGCAGGTGCAGGTGGAAATCCCAAAGGCTCCTGTGCCATCCAGCTGTGCCGCACATGGAGCCTGCACTGTCCCTGCCCACGGCTGGGCACTGCAGGACAGGGCTCGGGGACACTGACCTGCACCTGGGGGAGGTACCTACCAGGGAAGGAAACCATGAGAACATTTTCACAAATACAAGATGCAGCTGCTTCAGGCAAAGGTTTTCATCTCCTGCTTGTTCTTTTTCCCCTTTTTGGGAGCACCTGATTTAACTGAGATGCTCTAAAGCCTCATGTCTGTGCTCTGCTATATCTTCCTAAATTAGTTATTTTTCCTGTTGTATGATTATCACTTCACTTTTCTTGGCAGCACTGTTATCACAATTTGAACTTACATTTAATAAAACCTTAGAGAGACTCCTCAATAACCTCCCTTCCTGTGCAGTGACCCAGAGAGACAGAAAAGGGATTGTACCCGGGCAGATGGGCACCAATACAATGCCTTGTAGGAGAGGAATTGCAAACACTCCTGTGACAAACTGCTTTGCAGGTCACTTCAGCAATGAATGCACAAACCAGTGCACAGACCAGCCCCTCCTGCTTGTGTCTCTTCTCAAGCAAATTCAAGCACTGGTACAGAGGGTCAGGGCCTCCCTCCTGTCTCACTATTGCTTTTTGGGGGCCAATGACATTCCCAACTGAAGGGACAGCAAGTTCAAACACAAATTCTATTTGAAACTATTAATTCCTTAAGAAACCCCAAATTAAATGGCTGCAGCAGCACTAAGCACAGGAAGCATGGCCCAAAATGGACAGGGGAGAGGAGACAGTGTCAAGGAGGAGATGGTTCTATTCACACACTCACCCATGCTCTCATACATGCATAAAAAAGGGACACAAAAGGTACCAGAAGTAAATTGACATACTGTATTTATTGCACAAATTTCCCCTAAAATTGGGAATGGTTATTATAATACAAGTGCACATCTTGGGAAATATATACAAAAACAGAAGAGATAACAAGTATGTACATTTTACCCAGCATTTTACAAGTACCACCATCTAAATAATTTAGAGAAAGCAAAAAATTGTCATAAAACATTTCTAAGAACTAATAGGGAAAACATATGCAAGGTGTAAAATCTGTTCTTTTAAACAGTTTTTGTTCTTAGCAGCCCAGTGTTTGCCAATTGCAACAAAACCAAATTTGCTAATTTGTGTTTCTAGTACACTTAGTTTTCAGCCAGAAAATTAAGACATGTTAATAATGGAGATTGGGAATAGTGGAAAAAAGAAATCAAACATTAGTTTTCTATTCACATAAAACAATCGCGATATATTTTAAAAAGTCGACGCTATAGCCTGTAAAAATCCCTTTTTGTGTTATTTAACAAACAGACAGACGTACCACATTGTTCATGTACCCCAAAAAAATTAACTCACGGGAAAACTTCCCATGCCACGAGGGTTTTGGTTGTGTTTTGCCCACAACACTGCTGAGAGGGGCCGAGGGGAGGGACTGGCACGGGGGAGGACACCGAGGCAGCTGCATCAGCCTGGGACTGACTGAACACATCATTAACACCACTAACGAGCAGCAGTGGGCACAGGACAGCACAGAAGGTGCCCCCCCCCAGCCACCTCCTTCTCCTCTCACATTAATATTATTTCTCTGGAGAGTCAAACCCATCTCAAAGCAACCCCAACGATTTGCCAGTAATGGCTCAGAGGAGGATGCAGTTCTCCCATCAGGGTCACTGTAAGCTCAGTCCTGGGGGGTGCCAGGGTTAGGGGGCAGCTGCCCAGCTCTCTGGGCACTGCTACAGACAAACCCACCCAAGGAAGGAGTGCACCCTCAGCCCCCCTCACCGCCAGCCCCAGCAGTGCTGCCATGGCCAGGCCACCCCTGCCAGTCTGGGCACAACTCAGGACTCAACTACTGCCCACAGCACGTCCCCAGCCAAGAGTTCAACAGCCACACGTGGAGCTCAACCCTGGCGTTCATTACAAATGTGTTTACACAATCAGGCCCTGTGTCATGCTCGTTCCAAAAACCAGATGTAACACAACTGTGTGGCGAGGAAAGGACATTTGAAAAACAGGGGAGAAACAACCCCTTGGATCACACATGGAGTTCCTCCCCTGCAGCAGTCAGCGTGAGGTTCTGTGCACAGGGCTCCAGTGACACTGCTGGCTGAACGCTGGGGTCACCTCCTGGGTCACCTCCTGGCGTGGGGGCAGCTTTGCCCTGTGGATTTTTCCTGGAACACCTTTAAGGGACAGATTTTAAACAGCACTGAAAAACCACCCTGGGTGAATCCTGGCCCCAGAGAAGGAAGGGAGGAGAGTTCTGTCGCTGACAGGGGCGGGGCAGGGATCTCCCCTGTTGTTTTCAGGTTTATCAAATGGTTCAAATAGATTTGTATTTGAAGTAACCCTGCAAACACCAATAGCAGGCGTGCTGTACTATGGGAGGGATGATCACAGAATGATGCATTTATAGAATTTCTTACAGAGTTTAGCCACTAAGTGAATACGTGTCTCCTACCTGTGAGGATAATCCATGAAACTCAATATACTGAACATAATCAATGAAAACAGAAGCTAAAAATCAGCAACATTAATTGGCTGCCAGGACAAATACGTAAAGCAAAGCCTAGAATGAAGTGTCCAGTTAAACTGAGGTAGTAGAGCCTTTGAAAACATAATCCACCTCCCACTGTCTATTTACATGACTTACACCAGGTTGGGTCCATCAGCTACTCATACAACTATTGTATATACAGTGACAAACCAGTGATGGCTGAGTAAAAGAGAAATGCTGAGAATAAAACAAACAACATTTCCTGCTGGTAATTACACGAGTGAGTAGAAAAGGGATTAGAGTCATCTGCAGGGTATATTTGTCAAAAAATAATTTGGATATTACTACACTATGGTGTAATCAATGTTCATTTCTTTTGTAGAATGGTTTTAAAAAATGTATCAATTAGTTACCTGAGCAATTAAGGGTAATAGTCTACTCATTTTGTCCCCAATGCTTTGGTACAATTATTTCTAGTTCATTATTTCAATAGCTGGCTGACTGACTGCTGTAAAAAGAATATGGTGTTGCAAGAACATTAAAGATCATAAAAAAGTTAGAGGTAATTGTCATGTCATTCTGGGGACCCCGTGGGGAAATTTCAGCCAACATTCTCTTTAGATTATTTTTGTTTTTAACATTTTGATTACGTTGTGGAAGAAAAGCATCACTTAGTATAAAGCAACATTTAAACATTATAAACATTTAATACTGGTTACAGCATCCAGCCAAGAAAGAATCTCCATCGCTAGTTTGTCTGTTGGCCTCTTCCTTCCTCCTCCCTGTCCCCCTCTGTCCCCTGCTTTTCCCTCTTCCCAAGAGAAAGATCATAAATAAATTCTGGAGCTGACTGTCATTAATAAGCCTTTTACAAAACAAAGCGGCCCCGTTCTTCCTCTGGGAACAATCCAGAACTGGACTATGACATGAAAAAGTAGAAGTTGTTTACAAATCATCGCAGCTTGAGAATTAGAGATCCCAAGGAGATCCTGCTCAGCTGAGGCCGGGCTGGAGGCAGCAGCTGCTCTCTCCTGTTCAGTTCCTAAGGGCTGATGGCATCCTGTGTTTCTCAGAGCAGTTCTTCCTCCGTTCCCCAGTGTAAGTCACAGTCAGCCATTGTGGCAGAAACTGCTAAAAAACGCAGATCTTCAGCTTTGCTAAAATCTTCACTTTTCCGTGGCTGAAAGCTCGGGCTTACTCAGTTTTCTTTACTCCTTTCTTTATCCTTTTTGATAAATGGCCGAGTGGGAGAGGAGAAGTCTCCAACTGTTTGCACACTGTGCAGTCATATATGGAGGTGCTGCAGCTCAGCGAGCAGTTTGTTTGAATTGCTGCAAAGAGAAAGGAGCCAGAACAAGTTGTCTTCCACTTTGTTTTCAGAGAGGCAAAAAGTTGAAGTCTGTGGGCTCTGGCTTGTTAAAGTAGGATCTGGGCAACGTAGGGAGAGTGAGTGCTCGCTACAGCTGCCAGCAAAGGGAGGTCGCTGGATTCAATCCTGGAAGGAAGCAGAAGAGTCACATTTAATCCAGCCCGGAACGTGGTGGGGCTGAACACGTGTCAGTGCCCACAGAGCCTGCTCAGCCCCTGCACTTGGGCCCTGGGTTACTCTCTGCAGCTGCCACACTGTTCCCAGCACCCTCCAGCTGTGCCTGCTCACGCACTGCCAGCGCTGCCTCAGCTCCTACCTGTCTGGGGGGGTTTCACAGCACCAACAAACTGGTGAGGAAGCAAATGGAGGGAGGAAGAACACTCAATTCCTTCCTAACCTCACACAAAGGGAGTAACAGCTGGGGGACACAGTGCAGGAGCAGAGGACTGGGCTGAAGCAGTGGCAGCTGCTCCCCCAGCTCCAGCACCACACGTGCTCCATGTGCCTTCCTGCTCGTCCTGTACTCCTCTGCCTTCCTGTGAACACCCCTTCAACAGCTCCTCTGCCTGTGCCCCACACCCACAGAGAGGTACTGTGTGCCTTACACGACACACAGGGTGTTTTGTGCCACATTAGGGAAAGCCAGCCTGGAGGAATCAGGAACCTGTGTTGTTCAGTGCTGACTGACCACCTAAGCAGGGAGTCTGATAAGCTCCAGAGTGCTGAGCCCACCTTCCTGCCCGGGGGGAAGACACAGGCTGGGGGATCCTTGGGATCCAGCAGTGGCTAAGCAGAAGCCTGTGGCCATGGGTAACTTATGAGTTCCAGTCCCATTTGGGAATCCATTTTGCTGTGCTTAGAACAAGCCCAGGCAGGGGATGTGGCACCAGGACATCCAGGGTGTTTGTGACCATACCCCAGCACCACGCCCAGCTCCTTCACGTGGACTCTCATCTGGCCCTTGAGATACTCAGACAGCATCTTGCTTTTGAAGTAGAGCTCCTGCAGCCGATCCTCCAGGTGCATCACACACTAGAAAGCAAAGGCAGATGTGTCAGGGAAGACAGAGCTCTCTCTGAACCAAAGCAGCCTCAGAGCAGAACAGCACAGACCACACATGCCTGTTGCCTGTTCTGTGCTTGTGTCTAGCAGAGATATTCACTGGTAGGACTCTTGCTTTGCAGCAGAAGCCTTTGATTACATGTTAAATCAGAATTAATGAGGCAGCTGTTTTGATTACAGACTGGCATTTCAATAGGCAGCTCAAACAGCTACATTAGAGGATGCACTGGCTACTAAAATTGTGGCTACAGATACAAACACTAGGCAGAATCTTACACCTCCTTAAAGGGTGCTTTAAAACCATCACCCTCTCGATTGCCATTCAGACTTACAAAGTTTGGAGATAAATTATGCTTGTAAAGCTGAAGAGTGGAATGAAGCAGGTTGGAGACGAGACTGGAGACTAACACTTCTTTTCCCAGTTTATTGTCAATCATTCTTCTCTGGCTACTGGCCACTTGCACCGTCCACTTGTCTGTGTCTGCAATAATGCAAACAGCCTCTGCGATGGGCTCGTCCAGAACAGGGTGCTGGGAACACAAAATGAAGAGCAGAACCCTGAGAATGACAAATGACAACAGTCTTTTCACAAAACATCACCATCCTGGGCAGCAGGATAGCACCCCTGGACAGCAGGATTGCATCCCAGACACTGTTTCTCCTAAAATCCAGTCACATGTGCCCACGCTGCACTCCATCCATTAAACAGAGGGGTTTTGTGAGCAAGGCACAGTCTCAGAAGGATGGTGGCTATTCTACCTTCTCTCCCAGGCTCGAAAGTGTGTCACTGGTTGACAGTTACATATTTTGATATTTGACATAAAGAGTTCTGACATATCTAAAGTATATTTTAAACTCCTAAAACTGAAAGTACCCAAACTCCAATTCGCCGTTCAGCACGGCTGTGTTAACAAGGTCGGGTTACTCCCAGTTGTCACTGGTTTCCCTTCATGGGAGGCCAGCAGAGGGAGTCAGGAACCAAGCCTGTGCCTTGCCATTCCTTCCAGCGGGTGCTGCACCTCTCCCAGGCCCTGAAAAGGGGGTTGAAAAAGGGAGTATTTAGAAACCCACTGTCCTTTCCTAATACCTTTTTTGGCCTGGACTGTTAGGAAGCACCTCCTTCCAAAGAGTCCCACAGGGACCTCACACAGTGCTGGGATGCAGTTACTGTTGTACTTGAAGAGAAGCATAAAAATGTGGCTCAGTCAGGCTTGTGTTTCAGCCACATCTGTCCCACAGCAGCAGGTACCTCACACTGCTGCCTCTCTTGCCTGAAATTCAATTACACTTCCCAAATGGCTTAAACATGTGGCTTAAACCAGCCCCTGGAACAACCACTCAGGGAGAAAAACTCGTTCCCTGTGGAGCTGGGCACAAGGGAAGGAGATGAAATGTGGGGAAGAGCCACAGGTCTGATGCACATTGTTAATGTGAGAAGATGGAAAAGGGGATGTTTTGGAGGCTCTCAGGAAAGCGGCTGCTCCCCGGCCTGTGCACATCTGGGGTATTTCCCCATTCCCTTGGGAATAAATAGAGGGAAGCAGAATCACACTTTTCAGTGACAGCCCACTTTCCACTCCTTTCCTGGGGACTAAAAGAGGTAGGGAATACCATGCTTCCCAGTCATGCCCCAGTTCACCCAGGGAAAAGCTTCTGTGGAGAAGAGATGATCGATCACCAGCACACGTGAGCAGCACAAGTCCCTTTTGGACAATTATCTTTACACTGGTTTCTCCTTTTCCAGTGAAGCCATCACCACTGGACACATGGACTACAATCCTAAAGAAGGAAAAATGCCCCCAAAATATTAAACATTCCTGGTGGCTTCACTGTGGAGGACACATTCTGCTGCACAAGCACATTGGTCAGACGTGCAGGGACAGAGGAGGGAGCAAAGGGAGCTTCTGCCCCTCTGCAGCAAGACCCTGCCCAGGAAGAGATGCACAACCTCAGCTTTTGGGCTGGTTTAACATCATCCCATCCTGTGGGCACACAACCACCCCCTGCCATGCCTACAGGAGATGATGATTCCTCTATGGCTTAGCACCAAGATCCCTCTTCCCAAGGCAAGGGCCTCCCTACTGGCTTCAGTGGGAGTCTAATCTTTTGTGATCCAGATCTGCAGTGAAACACCCACGTGTTTCAGATACATGAACTGAGAGAAGAGAAAAAATTGGTGACCTGGGACTGGGGAAACGTGACAAGAGCTGTGACAGTAAATATTTCCACTACCAGCAGGTTTGTATGTTCAAAAACATTTACCTTCCCCTACTGTGAGAAATACATTTACCAAATATAGCTTAATTACCTGCACAGCATGAGACAAATCTGACACCAAACAGTGCCTCAGCTTTTCATCACTTCCTATTCCTTGCAAAACAAAGTCAGGGACATAAGATGAACAGTAGCCTCCTAGTAAGGATCTTCCAAAATTGGCAATACTGGGCTGGACAGAGTTCACTTCAACTAATTTTGACCTGCAAGAAAGGCATATCAACAATAAACAGCAAATTCAGCTTGCAGAGAGGTTGCATTTCCACTTTTATCATAGCTCTTCTAACTTCCATTCAAGTACTTTGTAAGGAGTTTAAAGTCAGCTTTTGCAGTCATGGAAGCAGAGATCACAATGCACAATTAATACTTTTTTCCAGACCACTGATCTCACCATATTCCTTAACAACCAGCAAGCTCAAGAGACACTTTTCCAACCCTGATGCCAAGTTAGGTTACAGTCCTCCAAACATGTGACATGAGAAGAGGCTCCATCTTCTTTAGGTTGTGTTACTGCTGAACAGTACTTACCCAGGGAAGGGAATCTCATATTCCTCTGCCCAATCTTCTTGCTCTCCTCCGTAATAGTTACTGCCCAGTCTAGTTAGATCATGGCCTGTATCCTCACTTTCACTGTCACCCAGGGCACTGTCTGAACTCTCATTTCTTGGAATGTCCCAATCAATCCCTGGGGCGACTTTTTTCTCTACGTTTTCTCTGTCCCCACAGGGGACACGAATAGAGATTTTCTCTCTTTGGTCCTGCTCATTAAAGCAGTTTTTGTAGGTCTCTTGTCGAACAGAGTCCATGAATTTACAAAATTCACTAGGTGGTTTGCAAGCCTTTGTACACAGTTTTTTAGAAAACTCTAAACTACTGTTGTGAGCAAGAAGGTCCGTGGCTGCTTGCCCTGGAATATCATCAATAGTCCGGGTTTCAACTGAACTGTCATCAGTGAAATACTCGTCAAACAGGCTCATGCTCTCAGCACTGCACGGGTTTGGGTTCCAGCTCTGATGCTCACTAGCAACTTGAGGAAAGGGTTCAGCTGTCCCACAGTCTCTATTTTGGTCCTCAACAGTTTGTTTAGCTTCACAGTTCTGATCAGCAGACACTGCTGCCTCCGCTGCTGGCGGGCTGTGATGCCTGGCAATTTGTTCCACTACTGCCTGACTCCTCAGCTCGATGTCTGAGTCAGGTGACATGGAATCTCCGATGAGGAAAGTCACCTTTGTCTGGGCCTCGGCGGCGCAGGGGAAGGCGTCGCAGAAGAGCTTGTCAGGGGGCTTCTTCTCCACGGCGATGCCGGGTGTCCGCGTGCCCCCGCCCGCGGGGCTGCCCGGCTCCAGCCCCTCCTCGCCCCTCCACGCACTCCCTGGGGCCTCCACTCCAGAGTCTGGCCCTGCAGCCGCCCCCGTGCACACCACAGTCTCCAGCTTGGTGTCCATGCAGGGCCTCGGCTGCTTCACATCCGCAGCATCTTCCTGCCCGTCGTCGGGGACGATGGTTCTGCTCTCGTCGGAAGAAGTTTCCAGCTCTCCCTTGGGGGTGCTTTGCGTGTCTTCTCGCTCGTGCTGTGGAACCCCTTCTATGTTCTGTGCCAGGGAAGGGGGACATTTGCAGTATTTACAGCTGCAGTTGGCAGTTCTCGTCTCTTCAGACTCCGTGGGCAGCAGGTTGCCCCTGTTCTTGTGCATTGTGACAAGCACATACTCAGACTCCTCCACTTCTCCTTTCTCCAGCGTGGTGGTGATCACAGTGCCGGGCATGACGATGGCCTCATCCTCCCCGTTCTCTAGAAGATGTGTCTCTTGAAGTTCAGAGCATCTGATGAAGTAAGTGAGGAAGTAAAGCAATCTCTGGACCAGGTCATGCCTTTTGCCAACCACAACTGTTTTTGCCAATCTCACAGGTGATCCAATAGCCCCATACAGGTCACCTAGGACAGGAAATAAACACACAATTATTTGGCATCTTTGCAATAAATTATTCTCCTAACAGCAATTGTTGGGGCTGGATTTCAAAGGCCAGGTCTACAACAGAGAAATACTAAAGCAGCAGAGTGATGACAGCTATCCTCTAGTTTGTTTTCAACGGATAGAATCCCAAAGATGCTGTTGGTATCAGTCTGTAAGGTGAGCCACTGGTCAGGGGGACATCTGATCTCACACATGAGGGACCACCTCTCTCCAGCTTTGAAGGCTCGTCTCCTGGCATCCTTATATAGCCATGGGAGAGAGGGGGCGTCTGCATCCACCTACCCTGGAGAGTCTGGAAACTGGGCTGAACTTTTACCCACAAGAGAAAGCTGTAAAAGAAGCAAACCTATGCCAGGAATGAGGGCAAAAAGTGATGGTGGCAGGTGCATGGCTGGAGCCAACCTCCTTCTGTTCCCCTCCTTGAGCTCTGCTATGGGTTGGATGGGGTGTTCTGACTGTACTTGAGTCACCTGGGCAGGTGTCTGTGTGTTCTGGAGGTATTAGGGAGCTGCAGGGATGAGGGGACAAGGGGCCCAAGAGGCCTCAAATGCCACTCTAACCACAGTGGGTCCCTCAAGTCCCATGAGCTCTGAAATCAAGTCCTCTTGCCAACTCCCTGGCCATTCTTGCCTGTATCAGAACAGGACAACCTCCCAGAACTCTCCCTTCCCTTCCCTAACCAAATTCCAGGAGAGTGTGTGTGCAGAGCAGGGCATTCTGACCTTATCTCCCCTACTCTACTTGCAATTAGCAGACAGTATGACCAGCTACACTGACTGGGCTTTGAGACCTTCCCAGGAGGTTGCTGAGCCATGATTTCCTGTTCTGCATCAATCCATTATGTTAAGAGTGTGTTCACTTCTGATCAAAAGATGGATTTCCTCGATTTTCTCTTTCTAGAATGAGGTTTATTGATAGCAGCATCCCAAAAATTAAAAATGGATTTTCCTTCTATCGCCAGGGGAGAGCTGGAATCCTCCACCAGCACCAGGACAGGTGTCCTTAAGGGACCCCACAGAGGTGACTAAAGAGGACCTTACTTTTGGGCTAACATTTTACAATACATAATGCCTTAAGAAACTAGAGCACACATAAAAAAATACAGTGACCACCTCTAAGCTGGAAATACACACTTTTGTCTCATTTTGAATTAAGAAATAAATAACTTGGGAGGGAAGTAACAAGCATCATAAACCCATTCCTGTAAAGCTGCTGGGTGGTTCAGAGGTGATTGCCACGTACCAAGCTGTGCCCACAGAGGGTTGTAGGGATGGGTTTTGGCCAGCATGTCCACGCTCTGGGAAGAATGCTTCTCCAGGAAGATCCTTATGGGCGGCTGGCCATTGGGCATGACGGTGGGGACCCAGGCCAGGTGGTTAGTCAGCACTGCAGTCAGCAAAGCTGGTAAAAACCTGAAAGCAAAACGTCCAGCAATGGGGTTTTTTTCCAGGTACACACTCAGGATGTTAAACTGACAGCAGCTCCACAGTCTAGATGGATCAAGGATTGCAGAAACAGCCTGACAAAGTCAGCACAGATCATCCCTTCAGTCCTGGTTTTCAGGGACAGAAGGGGTGGCTGGACCCTCCCTCCCACCCCTGCAAAGCTCATTCTTAGAACATGCATTTAAAGTAAAATGAAATTTTTACCTCTGTGGCATCTCAGTTCCTCTGTTTGGCAATAACTACGAGACTTCCTATTTTGCAAGTTTTATGCTGTGAAACATCTCAAAACCAACTTATTCTGTTCACTATAAGAAAGCAGTGGCACTGTGTGGCCTCTGTACTCCAAGGAGATCCCAAACCCACAAGATCTGTGACTATGGATGAGAAGGAAGGCTATCACTACCAAACCTGTAAAATAGCTGGGTGCTGTGTTCTTTCACATAACTGTTGTGCAATTCCAGCACACAAGGCTGCTCCTTTCAAAAATAAACCCCCTCAAAGTTCTGTAGCTCAGCCAGAGGAGCTGTGCCCTTATGCTGGTAAAAAAGTTTTCACTAGCTAAGAAATTAAGGCTAAAAACCTTTCTGAAAAACGTTAACTATCTGATTTATTGCAGTGATAGAGCGTGGTTTCTGCTCCGTGGAGGGAACTTCCCTTCCCAGTCAGTTTTCCTGGCAGGAGCAGGGCCCAGGAGCCTCCACACGCCAATAGATGGTGCTGGTGGCCTCAGCAGCTCAGGTGTGGGGAGGAGAACAGTTAAATGCCTCAAAATAACATTATTTGAATAGTTTACAAGCATCAGGAACCCTACAGCTTCCATGCAGCCAATTCCTCACTGGAGACAGCCAAAGGAGGAGAGGAGATTTAAAACTGGATTGGAAAGGATACAGAGCATAGTTTCCTCTTGCTTCCATCACTGTAAATCTTGCTGTATTTAAAATAAAGCAAACAAACCCAAATAAAGGACCATTTAAATGTAACCAAGATATGTAGGTCTCAGAATGGCAAGGATCAGGATGGCCCAGGAAAAAAGCTTCCACTGAAGCAGGAATTAATTTTAAGAAAACACATTTGAACCCCTCACAGTTCCCTGTGGTTTCTCCCCTTGCACTGAGGCAGGAGCAGGTGGACCACACTGACCACTGGGGAGAGAAGAGATGACAAAGGCGGTGGCAGAGCTGGAGGATGGGAGCAGCAGCCCCTTCCCTGAGCCACCCCTTCCCCCCACAAAGGGAGCAAGCAGCTGCTCTGCCAGTGCCATTCCCACCCAGCACACGTCTGTGCTCGTTTTAGGACCTCACTGGAGCCAAGTGCTTTAAAAACTTCCCCTAGTCGTGCCCTGGGGAAAGGGGATGAAGTGTTGACATAAGAGTAAATTTATCAGATTCACCCCAGTTTATCAGGAACTTTCTTTCTCAGTTTTCAACACCCGCTCAGGGCCGGGGCCTGAGGCCAGAGAGGTGAGCACTGATCAGCACACCAGTGGCATTTATAATGATTTAAGGTTTAAGAGCAATTTGTGGTCAGACAGTATTACAGAAACAGCTCTTCCTGCTCATCATATGACAACTGATTCTGAAAGGTAGATTAGTGCATTTCGTAAGGTATGTTCACCCACTTCCAGACATCCACACCCATCACATGCTTCCTATGGATGTGTTTCAGATGTTCAGCCTCTACCAAGATTTAGAGGATTGTGGGGAAGCAGAAATGTAATGAGATTATTTCTTATTTCTTTTTTGTTTTAAAAAGAAGGTATTTATGGACGGCCTTTTGATTCTTTGATTGCCAGGATTTTAACAACCGATTATTTGAAATTTGGTTTGAAACAAAAAGGCGCAATCACATATGGAACTGAAAAACTAAAATCCACCATACTGGTTCTTGGAAGCGTTTTCCATGAGGAAAGTGAACTCCTTCATGAAGCGATGGCAGAGCTGGTTCTTCTCGGGTGTCCCTGACATCATGGTGAGCCAGACGGGCTCCCCGATGCGGGGCATCGTGTACAGGTTGCAAATTGTCGTTCTAGAAAACAAAACCAAAACATCAGCAGGCTAAACAAACAAACAAAAAAGGAAAGGCAGAGATCCCAGCTTAAAGAATTCACTGCAATGTTTAGTTCCAGCTGTCATTTCTATCAGAAACAAAATTTCTCTCGTCCACCATCATCCAAACCATGTTGCTCGATCAATAGTAGGAATTCACCCTTCACCAGGGAGAGCTGAACCTCACAGGTTCCTCCTGCATCCACCTGAACTGATCCCAAACCCAGCAACACTCCCTGCCACAAGTCAAGAGCTGCCCTACTCTGACTGCAGAAGGAATGATTTCTTCTGTTATCTCCTTGCTTTCTCCACTTCATTCAAAACATACTTCTGCTTTATTTATGACTAGGACAAGTTTATCTATATCTGACTTATACCTGAACTTCCCCCTTGCTTTAAAAACTTGGTGTATCTCAAGGCCAAACCCACCCAAGTGTGATGTGTAGAGCAGGGGAACAGCTCACCTCTTTAGCTTTAAATAGAGAGTGTGAGAGTCAAAGTCACCCCATGGCTGTTCAGGTTACACACTCACCCACATCCTTTTTGACTCTACAGAGGACAGTAAATCTATGTTTAAAAATTTGGCTCTGCAGTAAAATACCAGATTAAAACCCCTCAGATTACTTTTAAACTCTTGAAAATCTAAACTAAATCATAGTTTAGTTTTAAGTACAAAGCCTCCATTATGACACTATGGGAACCTGTATTTTTATCATAGTAAAAATGTAAGCCCGAAAAAAACCAAAAGGACAAGGGAAATGACTGATCAATTCAAGTTTCTCCCCACTTAATGCACTACTTTTTCTAGATGAGGTATTTTTGTTTTACAAGACAAAGATTTACATTATCCCATTATCCCCAGTACCACCCCCTGATTTATAAAGATCTTCTCTGCATATTTGGTCTCAAAATTTATGGACACTTCCAGAAGTAAAGCCATGGCTGTGCATGCCAGGCAGGCAAACACACTCGAGCAGCAGCTGCCAAATCTTCTGTGGTTTAGTGTTTAAAGTGCAACTCCCAGGAAGTGAGAGCAGCACGTCAGCAGCAGCACAGCACATCCCAGCCCTGGCAGGGGGCTCCCAGGGGAGGAAGGAGTTACCCCCCCCAGCTATTTGGCAGAGAAGCAGCTAGGTGGGGACAAGACCTTCAGAGCAGCTCCCCAGAGGGCACTGAAGGTGACTGGAGTCACCGGGGCTGCTCCAGAGGGAGGGAGGTGAGAGGGCAGTGCCATTCTCTGCCTTATTTTTTCCACCTGTGTTCACCAAATACAAAATCCATTCTATGTGCTCACAATAGTCCAAAACAGCCCTGTCTTCCTCAAAGGTTACAACTTCAGACCCTCCACTGCCACAGGCATGATGAGAACACCAGAAAGCAGCCAGTGGGCTGGAGAGAGGGACAGCTGAGTTACCTTTGCACTGCCCAGCCCTCAGAGGCTTTGCTGGCTGCTGGGTCACTGCTCCATGTTACCCTCTGCTCCTGGTCCTCTCCTGGGAGGAAAGCCCAGCCTGGTGACAGACTGGGCACAAAGTCCTGCCAGACTGGACACGAGTGGGGCACCAGCACTGCCACATGCAGGGGACAGGGGGTCTCTGGCAGCACAGGGGCTTGGGGCACTGGGATTTCATTCCTCTGCAGGAGCAAGCTGGGACTAGGGATGGGATTATTAAGGGAAAGCTTTCTGTTCACAGCTCATTAACTGGAGTGGATGTTAAAGAGGCCCCAAGAAAAGGAGAAACCCCAAGTCCAGGGACTTCAAAGCTCAAAACAAGTCTCAAGACCTAAACCCCCCAGACACAGCTGACCTGAGAAGCTGAAGATAAACAGCACAACTTAACGTAAAATACAGCTTATTTCTCCTTCCTATGCAAACTAACCCGAGCCAAGCCTCTTGCAGCTCGGCTGTTTTGAAAAAAGAAACTACTTCTATACTAAAACCAACATATTAAAATATTTGTTTTCGTTGAAAAGATAGCCCGAGTCTTGTGATTCGTTATTTACTATTCTGGTAACCCTGGCTGCATCTGCAGCTGATAGTGTTTCCTCCGAGCCAGATCAGATTGCCCTGGCCCCTGGCCAGCAGGCATGTGACTGCAGTGCAGGGAACCCTCCATGCCAGCGCAGGCAGCAATGGCACAGAGACCAAGGGCAAGGATTAACTGCTTCCCAGCTCTGCAGACACCCAGGGAAACGCTCCCCTGCCAGTAAGGAAAGGGCAAAACTGAAAACAAAACAAAACATAAAAACCCGAGAAACCCTCCCCGAACACTACAGGGAAGTTAAATGGATTTAAAAAACAACAACCATTACAAACCCAGTTGGCCCCTCTCCTCTCAGCCATCTGCAGCAGGAGCCCCCTCCCCTCCCTCACCGCCCCCACACACCAGCGAGGGAAAGTTCAGTTAATGAGAGACTCTGCTCTTTTGAGGGTTCCAGTGCATTTAAATGGGTTTATATTTGGAAACGCCTCCGGGAGGCTGAACTCCAGCCCGGAGCTTACAGGCACCTCAGCCCCAGCACTGCAGCACCGGGCACAGGGGCCGGGGAGCCCCTCAGGAAACACCTTCACACCCCACGGGGCGGGAGGGCCAACTGCCAAGCGGAAAGGAGCCCTGAGCAAAGCCCTCCTCAGCCCCTCTGGGGTCTGCCCCAGCGGGCACAGATGGCACCGAGGCGAGCAGCCCTGCTCCTGCAGACACGATGGCACAGCACGGCTGCTCCTGCCTCACCCTCACCCACACACACCCCAAACCACCCTGGCCTTGGGCCCGGATTTCAGTACCAGTCTGAGACATCTTTCCCTGGTGCTGTGCAAACCAAACGAGGCAGACAGCTCCTCACGGATGAGAGCATCCTGCTGCAACCCCTTCCTCCCCGAGGAAGGCACACGGACCCCCAGCCCTGTGCCCCCAGAGCTGCTCTGCTATTTAGGAGCCGCAACACAACGGCAAAGAAAAAACACCAGCGGCTTATAAAGCTTAATTCACATGCATTTGCTCCCTATCCTCATTTCTTCCTTCCAAAGATGGCTTTTCCTTAAAAAGGAGCAAGTAAACAAAGGCAATCCCCACTGCAGGGAGTGCAGGAGCAGGGGAGCCCCCGCGACTCCGTGCCCGTGCTGGCACCACCGAGCAGAACGCACCAGTCAGTTCACAGCAGCATAAGCTGCTTAAAAATTACTGGCAGAAAATAGGATCAAATCTGTCTGCCAGAAAGCAGAGAGAGGTGTTTCCCCAGGCCCTGAGATCAGGGTTTCCTTGCCAGCCTGCGTCTGTGCCACACAGGTATTAGTCAGATGCATAATCTGCGTTATCAATGTGCTGCGCCGGCCTCGGGGACTGGGGGAGCCGAAATGTTTATGCAAGTACAGTAGCTTATTTCATAAGTCATGTGTCTGCACAGCTGACATCCACAGAGAGTTCTAAGCCTCTAAGTCAGGTGTTAATAGCTAAACCCATCAGTGCTTTAGAAAATTAAAAATTGCTGTAAAGTGACTAATGATGTGAGGGTAGGCCTGGAGCTGGGCACCAAATCGATGGCAAATTTATCAACAGCATCCATTTGCAGAGGCAGCCTAGGCCTTCCAGAGAAGGCAGCTTTGTTTTTCCCTACGTGAGACAACAAAAGCAAAGCAAGGGTCTGTTTTGCTGTCTTTTCTTTTCCCCCTCTATCCTCCAGTAGCAGCAGATAAATGCCTGCTGACCCTGCAGGCAGCTCCTCACAATTTCGGTTGCAGGTAGTGGGGTGACCTCCAACCACAGCCCCTTTCCTGCACGCTCCCTCCTCCCTTCTCTGATCAGCACAGCAGCACATCCCCCGTGCCCCACTCATCTGAGGTTATTCTGATCACCAGACTGCACATCAGCTACTCTTGGGCACCTCTGAAAATGTGGGGGGTTTAAAGAAAAACAAACAAACAAACAAGATTCTCCTTTAAAGCCACCCCAAAACCAACCAGACTGCAATGAGTTAAACCAGCACGGGATTACATTTTAGAATCACCAACCCACTGAAGTCAGCACCCTTCTTCCCTCCAGCACAGTTTGCTAAGAGGGCAGGAATCAACACAAGTCTCAGGTTCACCAAAGGACTCGCTCCTGACTTCCCCGTGACTTCAGTGGGAAAGCAGACGCCTAAAGAGATAATAGTGTCCTAAATGGGTTTGCTGAACCTGTGCCAAAGCATCTTTGCATCCAGCCTGCAGTATTTAAATATGCTTCTTGCTTCTTACCAGACACATCCTGCATGGCTTTGAAAAGCAAGGGGCTCTTGTCTGTCACAGAAATGGGGATGTCACAGGGGTACAAGGACCCTGCCTGGGCTGGGGGCACCGGCTGCTGCCCACCTCTGAATGCAGTCCCTTAAAAAAGCCAACAAAACCCAGAATTGCCAAAGGCTGCTGCCCCAGGAAATTCATTTCCATGAAATTAAACTGGATTTAATTTACCTCGTTACACTATTAAGGAGTAATATTTATATCACCATGGAAACCTCCGCATAAAACTGGTGGTTGGACACATGCTCCCAGTGCTGGTTATGCAAGGGCTGTGTCATGGGAATGATCCCAGCTCCTGGTGTGCAGGAGAATGCCAATCTGCACCTTTCTCCTCAGCCTGTCCACAGCACCCTTCTTCATCCCATCCCAGCTCCACGCTGCTGAGCTCCCCTCCAGCAGGAAAAGACAGCATGGGGGATTTGGCTTGTGTTTTCAGGGTTATTTTTCCTACTTTTGACTCGGGATAAGTGCCCCTCCCCAGCCCTCTGGAACTGTTTAACTTGGAAGGACAAAGGAGAACGGGCAAAGTCCGCTGAAGGTACCTTGAGGAGGAATGTTTTGGGGGAAGATTTGGGCAAACAGTTGGGGAGGTGGTGTAAGAGAGGGTGGGAAAGCAGAGAAATGGCTCGGGGGGAGAGGCAGAGCAGAGCTGGGGGAGCAGAGAACCACGGTGGCTGCTCCCAGTTGCTGAACTCGTCTCAGGCCCCTGGGCAGGATCAGCGGCTCCCAGTCACGAGCTCTCTCTGCTCCCTCTTTTGGCACAGCTGATCCCATCCACCTCTCACCGCAGGCCCACGTGCTCCCTCTTCCCTGCCTCCTGTCCCTACAGAACATATCCTCTGCCCTTCCTTGTGACTGCCTGGAGCTTCTAAAAAAAATAAAAAAATATACTGTGCCTTCATCCTGCAGCACCACCTAATCCATGGCATTCAGGTAGTACGTGGAATTGTAGCAAAGCAAGTGAACCCTCAGGATCCTTCACTGTTAGTAAAATACATCCTGATGTCAGGATTTTCTTTTTATAACATCAGAGCACTGTCTTCAATAATGTCTCTAAAAAGTAGCTCTACAGTGGTTGTAAAAGGAAGCACCCTGCCACTCCCATCTGAGAGGAGATGAATCACTCAAAACAGATGGATTTCATCTTAATTCCCTCCCCCCCCATGACTTCAACTATGGAAAGAAAATACAGCTAAATGCCAGGGATGTGCTTATCTGTGTTACTTTGTATATTAACTGTTGAACAGAGAGGCTCTGCAGATACTGATAGCCAGAGATTAGAGCGCTGCATTTTACTGTGGGAAAAGACAGCTCTCCTTGGTCCTACCTGGTTATCTGAAATACCTTTAGAGCACAGTTTAGAGTGGGGTGGGCTTTGCTCACACATCAGGAAAATACACACTAAGGTGGATTTCCCAAACATGGCTTTGCAATGCTTTTCCCCCTCTCAACGGGCCAGAAAAGATAATTTAAGAGGTCACTGTGAGCTCCATTACCATGTAAAGCACAGAAAACATTGATCATCTGTGTCCTGTTCACACCAGGCCCTGATGGATACACACACTTGGCAAAATCTGAAAACACAGACAGGTCAGAATGGCTTGGTATCACCAATCCTTCGCCGTACTTACACTTGCAGGAGACTTTACACATTGTAAGTTACTTATCCTGCACTAAGAAGGTCCTCCTAAAACAGACTCTGCTTTTGAAGGAACAGCCACAAAAGGCAGAAGTCACACTGCTCACCTGAATTCATTAAGGGCATCCACAATCCTGTTATAGGCCAAACTCCGCTGGCTGGCATCAGCTGATCTCCGGCTCATTTTCATAGCCTTGAAAGCAATCATTAAACAGATGAGTAACACAGAGCTTCAGAAGCACAGAAAATGGAAAACAAAGTCATGTGTTTGCCTCTATCTTCCATGCAACTGGTCATGCAAAAACATTAGTTAAGTGATAAAATGATGGTACAAGTGACAGCTTTCCTATCTGAGGGAAGACAGGTGAGGCACATTTGCAGCTTCTGCTTCTTCTGTGCATTTCATCATTTAAGGCACAGGAGTCAAAGTTTTGACTGCAGTGATGCAATTCCTACACCCAAGAGCAAGTTGATCCCACCTTTTGTAACAAGCAACAGGAGTTAGGAATTAAATCTGACAGGGCTGGGGGAACACAGAGTAGTACAAGGGCAAGAATCCAAAGCGAGAGTGTTTACCTGTTCTATTGCACTCTTCAGTTTGTTCATGTGACTCTCAAAAAGAGGGAAGTGGGAGAAGAAGAACTCGTTGAATTTGTTGTTTTCATCTTCATCTCTTGAGAGTGAAAAAATAACCCCAATTGCTATCTTTTTCTTCCTAACAATTCCCGGGCTTGGACCAGAGCTGTCATCTGACAAGTTGAAACTTTCATCCATGGACCTTGGAGCATGAAAAAAAGAGAAAGTTAATGTAATCCACTGATAAAGCTGTACCTTGGTTTGCTGTGTAATTCAGTTCTTGAACACTTAACTTCAACAAACACCTTTTGTTTGCATGTGTTGTCAAATCATCACCTTTGACAACATCCACTTTGTGATTTTTTACAAGCAGCCATTAACTGATCCTGCAATCACAGAAGCTGGAACCGGATTGAAAGTGTTTGTGGGATCAGAATATGGTATTCTAGTTCTCTCCCATCTCTGCCAAGAATTTGTGTTGTGAGTAGGATTTTAGGGCCTCTTATCCTCAAAAATACAGCCTACAGATTTACATGCTGCTGAAGGCTTTCCAGTCAGTGCAAAACAATGAATTGCATGAGGAAAACAGAGACTAAAAAAGATCAGCCCGACTTACACCTCTGTCAATACCCCACGGAGAGCAGCAGCGAGCGCAGATGTACATATGCAAGAGCAGAATCAAGCTGACAACGGGGGAAAATGTATGGGCAGCAACCAGCATTTGAATTCCCAGCTCACCATCGAGGGAAGACCCCGTTCTCCAAGCTGGTAGTCTGGCTGCGACGCCAACGCCGCTGGTAGCTGCTAGCACAGCTTTTGTTAAACGAGGAGCCCGGGGATGGGAACGGAGTGATCAGCAGACTGCTAAGAGATGCTGCAAAGAACAAGAGGAATAAATAAAAATCTCTCCTCAGAAGAAAGAACATTTGGAAAATAACACCAGCAGCTAGATGAAGCCCCTCAAGATATACCGGTGTTGCTTCTTGGGTGCTTTCTCTTTTGCTTATCTGTGTTTCTTATCTAAAAATAAGCAGTTTATAATGACATTAACAAGCCATACAAGCATTACGAGGGTGGCACAGTCCTGCAGCTTTACATAAGAAGCAACGCACAGGCTGTACCTTGCTCAGCAACCTGAGTATTGGGAAATAAATTCTTTGTGGAAAGGAGTAATGTTGATGACATCCTTCCAATCCTAACCCCAGTGCCCAACATCCCGAATTTTAAGGGAGGAGAGGGGTGTTTTGGAGGCAAATTCATGTTTTAATGTCACTGTCAGGGAATCACAAAGTCCCAAACTGGTTTGGGTTGGAAGGCACCTTAAAGCTCATCTTGTTCCAACCCCTTCCACTAGACCAGGCTGCTCAGGGCCCATCCAACGTGGCCTCCCTGATTTGGAAAGGAGATGACAGCAAGTATTGTTTAGAAATGCTGCAAGCTCATTTCAATATTTAATCTGCTTTGCTTTAATAATTGGCCCTGCTGTCAGGTTACCTGTGAGGTGCCTGAAGCACCATTTGTTCCTGTACAGAGAGGCATCATTAATGTTATACAGAACAAGCCAGAACAATCCCATTTCAGCACTATTTGCTGATGTGCAGAGATCCCAGTGACCAACATTACTGAGTCTTTCTGGAGTGTAGGGGGTTAACCCACGGAGCTGCCATTACCAGATCTTGCTATACCGCTGTCTCTGTCCTCATTCTGCTCCCTCCCAGGCATATCCATAGGGTTGCTATGAACTGTAAAACAAGGAATACCAATTAGCAGGGGAATATACAGTTCCTTTCTTGTTTGCAGATCTCCATGTAATTAATGAAACAAAAACATGCTCATTAATTCAGATCAACAGCACTGCACAAGGCCATCACCAAGAAAGGCTGCTTAGCTGAACAAGCCAAAACACTTATCTGAGAAGCCTGTATGTGTTTTTCTCCAGTCCATACACCTATTTTAGTGCAAGCTGAAACTGGTACACTTTATTTCTTTACACAGATAATTTTCAATGAAATTTTAATGTACCAAGAGGATGTTGGTCCCACTGGTAGTACTCAGTGTATGTTCAAAAAACCACCAAAACCCAAAATGAACACAACCATTCATATACCAGCTTTCTCAGGTATTATAAATGTAATTTCATAAGGATTTTCAATGCTGTCTTGAAGAAAATAATACTTTTGAGTTGTGAGCAGTGCATTGGTTGTTCAACTAAGCCAAAAGCTGTCCAGATTCAGAGTCTGTGTACACACAAGATCAAAAATGTCTCAGGCTCAATGGTCTTTAAATGTGATATATTTTACAAATGTGTGTGTGAAATAAAACTACTCAGCCATGGAAATAAGACCCAGCCAATAAAAGCAAGAAATGTCCATTTTGAGTGAATCTAGGTTAGCTTTAGTTTTTACAGTTTAGTTGAAACCAGTCCAGATTAAAATAGCTTGACACCATTGTGAAATATTATTCCAGAAATACGAAATCCATATTAAAACATATAAGTTTCCAAAACAAAGCAACACAAACAACCCCAAAGAGGACTATTAAATGCCTGTTGTCCTCGGGGGATTTAAGGAACGTATCCAAAAAGGTAAGAGAGCAACCATCACTGTCCATTTTGTATTTAAAAAAAAAAAAAATAAATAAAAATCTTATTTCCAGGGCTGAACTACAAATGCCCCCCCAGTTTGTCACCCAGCTAGACTAGCCCACAGCACACAGCACACTGCAAACCTGCAAAGAAAGAGGCGCTCCGGATGAGGCGGAGCGGACCTTGCTCTGAGAATGCCCGCCTGGGGCTGCAAAGCTGGGAAAGACCTACACGGCAAAACGTAAAATACACATGAGAGAATGAGGTTAGTAAAGCAGAACAGTCCCTAGGGAGGGGGCCAGGGCAGGGAGAAGATATGAGCCAACATAAATGCAGAGTAACGTAGGCAGAGAACAGCTCTGAGGCCTGACAAGAATGCTGGTGTGAGGGTAAGTCCTGCAGTTGGACGGCACAGTACTTATAGAATTAACATAATAGACCCAGCTTTCCAGTGTCTCCCATACAAGGATGAGGTTTCTCAAAAGGGCTTTTTTTTTTAAGGTTGAAAAATGATTAATTTATGCAGGCTCAAAGCCTAACTTGATCACAAACAGGAGATTCATCATGGAGTATAATGTTTGTTTTAACATCCACAGTGGTGGGGTGGCTGGGAACACTGGTGCTGAAGAGGAGAGGGGAAGGGGGAGAAGGCAGGCAGGAATTCATCTTAGTAGAACCAACAGAAAATTATGGGCTGAAGTAGTTGTTGTGAGAACAGTCAGTACATCAGTTGAGTGAAACGATCACACAGAAAATAAATGTTAGCAGTCTCAGTAGTTCATTTTAAAATACTGGGTTGTAGATATACCAAGAAAACAGTGTATTTACTGTACACAAAGTCAGGAAAAGCACTTTAATGAGTTAATTGCCAGTCCCTCTCCTACATGTGAAGCAAATGCCCACTCAAAGTTTTCGGATTATACAAAACATGAAGGCTGCACCTCAAAGCTCCCTTCCATTCTCTCAGGCCTTCACTCATTAAAGAGAACACATGACCAGAGCTGCTGGTTTGTTTTTTCAACCAGTGTATCTAAAAAAAGCACGTTGTAAATAGTTCCCAACCAAAACACACAGACCCTTCTCCTGCCACAGGTGAGTCAGGAGCTGCTGAGCACAGTTGTTAGAAACGCTGCAGTTACAGATTAACTCCTTTTTCCACTTTGCCCAGGGTTCCCTCTGTGCTTAAATGGGAACTGTAAACAAACACTGCTGAAAATTTGTGCAGCTCAATCACAAAGAAAACTTCAGCATCCTCTCCTTGCAGGAAACCTCGTGCCTCTTGCCACACACCCTTGCTCCGAGGTGCCCACACCTCCTGGGCAGCTCTCAGGGCAGCCACTGGGCTGCTTGGAGGGGAAGAGTCACCCTCACCTCAGAGCTGGACATGGGTGGCACTGCCTACACCTGAATCACATTGAGTCCTCTCCTAAGAGCTGCCTTATCTGAATTGGAATTTGCAGTTTAGATCTCTCTGGTGATACAGCAAACTTTTGCCAAGCACAAAACACAGCAAACCCTAAAAGTAGGGGCACCTCATGCACTGTGAAAAATCACAATTGAAGTCTGAAAGGAATAGTGAATATTAAGAAAAATGCCACCTTTTAAACTACCCTGACCTAGTGAATTCAGGAACCATTTAATAGATAAAAGGTTCTTGCAACTTTAATTGGCTTCCCTTATAGAGGGACTATTGGGAATGACTTTAATGAGGTATACAGCTCATGAGCCTGAAAAGCATTTAAGCCCATGCCTAGGAGCAGTCTTATCAAAGTCAGTGTGAAGGAGAGAAGTAAACACTCTCAAGAATTAGGACCACATCAAAGTCAGAAACCCAGTTAAGAGTAACACAGTCATCAAAAATCCACTCCTTACTTCCAACCCTATAAAAGCATATTTTACATACAGCAGTATTCTGGAAAGCAATTCTAAAAAGAAGCCCCTTATTCTACCTACAACAGACATTTGCTTGGAGAGTCAACAATGAAAATGAAGGGACAGGGAGGACGTGCTATAGAGCCATGAATCAGGTGGCTACTGCTGGAACGAAGCACTGAAGTCCAGTATCTCTACTGTCATCTCAACTGCTCCCAAAGGGAAGAGCCAAGACCTTCCCCTCTTTGTTATCTAATGTTCATGGGGCCTCCACCCACAGCCCTTCCACGAGGCTGAGAACCAAGGATGCCAGATGGCTTCTCAACACTGCTTAACTCCCATGGCCAGACAGAGGAGAGAACACAAAGATACTCTGTCTAATCTGATCCAAAGCTGCAGCACAGCTGTGCAAGGTTAACTGAGACTCGGAGGAAACACGTGGCCACACGTGCTCAGGTGGGCAGAGTACAGAGCAGAATGAGAATTATTAACGAAAATAAAACTGGGGAGCTGAGCCAGGCACAATCAATCCTGCCTGACCTGAGACGTGCTGCTCAGGACGTTCTACACAATGTTATTTTCCAACATTTTCTGTATTTGCACTGAAGTATGTCTAAATATTTCTATTATGTATTTTATATACACATATACAGCTGTGTATACTGAACTACTGCTAATTCCCAGAACAGTCTGATTCATTCTCCTCCAAACTTCACCAGTATTAATTTTCTATTGCATCTTTAGCTTTTTTTAATGTGATTCTCTTTAAAAGACTTGCATATTCTAGAATCTATGATTACTCAATTAAAGATATCAGCAAATAAAATTTGTTTGTAATTACCTATATTCCCAAGAAGTCCATTCATAATTGTACTGTGGTCAGGCTTTAATGTATTGCTGTCTTGATTAATGAACTCAAGACTGTCCTGCAACCTATAATAAATATAAAACATACAACAAAACCAGTGATTTGCATTTCAGTAGAACAAAATGTTAGTTCATTATAGCCTGAATGGAACAGACAAAGTAAGAACACAGGCTTCCACTAGGAAAAGCTTTCAGAGCCTAAGCCATGTTCTCAGGTGGGTCAGTTAACACACAGAAAACTAAACTCTGAAGCCAGATATTTTTGTAACACCTTTTTCTTCATCTGGGACTGAATTTCCCCCGTTGCAGGCACTTCTGTACCTTACAACATCAAGCTTCCCCATACCAGCACGGAAGGAATGGTTCATTCATTCACTGAGAGCAAACTGAGGTGAAGACAACTGTGAGGGGAAGGTGAGGACGCTACTGACAGGATGTAACAAGAAGTTACTTTTTTAGAGAAAGAATCTGGAGGGTCCAAAAAGAAGTCTCGTGTGTTTGTCCTGTTCACCTGCTCGTGTGCAATGGCTACAGGCTGGGGGACTCACGTGTTGAGGCTGCCGTAGATGCTGCTCCCGGTGCGGGCTGTGAACACCTTGCTGAGCATGAGCTGGGGAGGTGAGCTGAGGAGGGCAGGAGGGGAGAAGGCAGTCAGAAACACAGTGCCAAGCCAGGCCTGCCTTTCCATTTCACAACCCCCCAGATTTTATAGACCTTCACACGACACAACGGCCTTTTGTTTCAAAAGTGACATCAGAATAACGTTAAGGCAAACACAGAAATCCCTTTTACTCTGCACTTGTGCCATTCAATTCAGTAGGCAGTAGTACTAAGGAGTGAGTCTTCTGAAAACACCAGCAGCAAAACATTAATCTTACCGGATCTGGTGAATTTTCAACGTGGAGCCCTTGTAGCTCATGGCCACAGAGCCAAACATCATCTCTCCAAGCATGTTGGCATCTGAAGAGCACCGAGAACCCTGCAAAAAACAAACCCAACAACATTTGGGTTTAAGCATTTTAGAAGCACACTTCTATTAGGGGGTGTAAAAGACAGGAAAATATTCTTTATCTAAAAGATAACCATGCAAAATATCTTCCTAGAACACTGTTGAACACGCTAAATTGACCAGTTTAAAGAAGATAATGCTAGCACAGAAAGTGATCTTCATATTGGCTGTGAGCTCAACCACTAAAACCATTGAAGAAATCTACCATCTGGGTGAGGGGAAGCAGATTCCAACTGCATTGAGCCAGGGGACTAAAGTTCTAAGAATGAGATAACACACCTTGCTGAATTAAAACCATTAAGCTTAAACCTTGCCTCTCCTTGACAAGAAGAATCACCAGTTCACTGGAGGTCTTAGCCAGACTGTGCACTGGAGCCAAGTTGGACCAGTGTTTTCTTGACAAACACTGATTCACAACTTATCCTTGGATGGTATTTTTATGGGATGACTCTTTCCCTCGTGCTGCCGTGATGGTACCAGCAAAGAGCTGCAGCATCATGATGCCAGGCTACAGTTGTGCAGTTCCTGCTTCTCCGTTGGCAAGAGCTTGCTGTAAGGCACCCAGGCTAAATACCAAGGAGGGATGTCACTATGCTGCATCACAGGCTAGGCCAAATTCTGCAAACAAAACCTTAAAATTAAAAAATCACTCAGGGCAATCAACTGGAGATGACTGCTCTGCTGACAGTCATCTCATTTGTGTACTTTCAAAGGCTGAGATTACTGTCCCTTAGCCCAGGGCTGTCTCATCTCTAGGCTGGCAGAGTATTAGTGCTGGGTCCTCACTTGTGGCTTGCCCTGACTAATTTAAAATATGGTGATCACTGACTCACAGAGCTCAGCCAGTTCACAGGTGGGTACTTTGGTACTGTGCAAGAGAGCAACACATTTCCTTCAAGATGTGTGATAGCCCTCCACTTCCTTGGAGTAATCCCTCCCAAAGATCCCTAAAACCAGTCACAGAAACAACTCTGTGCTTGGAAAATGCTAAGTGCCAGGTCTTCATTCTCCTCATCCAAGCTCTGAACAACCAGGATCCTCACCCAGATTGCTACACAGGATTGGAATACAGAATGATAGAATGGTTTAGGTTGGAAGGGACCCTAAAGCTCACCCAGTTCCACCCCCTGCCTTGGGCAGGGACATCTCCCACTAGACCAGGTTACTCAGAGCCCCATCCAACCTTTCCTTGAACACTTCCAGGGATGGGGCAGCCACAGCTTCCCTGGGAAGCCTGTGCCAGTGTCAGACAGCGAGCCCAGAGCACACCCAAGGACAGAGTGCCCCCACCATGGGCTCCTACCAGCAGCAAGGAGGGCTGTGAATATCCCACTCGAGCTTTCTGCTCACACTCACCCACAGAACAAGGGCAGGAACAAGGAAGTGCTCATCAGCCAAAAGGCAACACACAACACATCTCAATTTTTAGCTCTTCTCAAGCACTCTCAATTAAGATGATGATACTTTAACAGCCATACTATTAACCTCTGAAATCTGCTAACCCTGCAAGAATCACTAAAAGCAGCAACCACAGTTATAAAAATGAGGATACAATTGCAAGGTTTGTTAGTGTTCAATGACAGGGCAAAACCTGATCATTAGCTGGGCCTCGGTGAAATTTCCATCTTTACCTCCCAGGATATCCCACTGCCCAGGTGCACTGCAGGCACTACTGGAAAAACCAGAATTTAAAACCAGTCAGTATGACCCAGCAGCTCCAAGGAAATCCCAGCATAGATGTTAATGGCTCTAGGAAATAACAGGTTTGCCAGCATCATGAAATCTTGACTTGAGAACACTGCAAATTACTACAGCCACACACTATGATTGTTGGTTTTAAATCTGTTGCAGATCTCCAAATGAAGGAGACAATTCTGATTAAATGTCAAGCCCTTGATGGTTGGTTTTGATTTCAACTTTCTGCTGTTGTGAAAATCTAATTCTAAAGCTGAGGAAAAATACTTTATCTTAAAGTATTGATTTTCTTTGTCAGGCAACCAAATTAAAGTGAAAATCAGCTGCTTTCAAATTTAATTGTAGGGGTTTCCCTTTCCTTTGAAAGACAGACAAGCACTGCTGAAGGCAAAGAGCGTGATAAGATGTGCCCATGGCCTGTTCAGTCTGGCATTTCATCTACACTTAATAACAATAATTTTACCCTGCATAACAGAAGACACATATTTAATGCATTTAATATGGAAACACTGTTACAGCCCAACTCTTCGGGCCTCTAATGCTGCAAAATAAAGGTCAGTCAAGACCAAAGTAAAGTGCAATCAACTGAGGAAAGGGGTTAAATATTAAAAACTCAAACAAAAAATAGCTAAGGAGCATCTGGCAAAAAGGGCACAACCTGCAGCACTGCCAGCCTGGCCACAAACCAACTCCCCAGGCCATGGTTACCAGCTCCCATAAAAACTGATCATAAAATACCCACAAGTGTTGGTGAGTGCACATTAGCATATTAGAGGCAGTAACATGTGCATGATTTGGAAACTACACTTCTGAATATATTTACAGCGTTTAATATTCCCTCTGCTGCACATACTGTCCTGTCAATAACCAAGTGCATCTGAAAATTAAAAATGAAGAAATAAACGTCAAATGTTGTGATCAACAAACCTGAAAGACCTTCAGTCCTGCCTGCACTGACAAGCACAAGGGGCAACATCAGTGACATAATGTGCAAATAATTGTGGGCAAGCTTGGAATCATGTCCAGCTTCATCTTAATGGATTCTAATCATATTTTGAGGGATCTGGATGGGACATAATTACAAATATGGAAGCCTGGAACAAAATCCCTGAATTTCACATTGCAATTAAAGTTGCTCATATATAGTCAAAGTGTATTTAAACAAGAAAACATAAAGAACTATTTTACAAGTCCCACAGCATTGTATTATTTGAGCTTCCATTTACAGCTTTACAAAAAACTGAACAAAGCAACTTATAAATACTGCAAATACATTAAGTAACCTCTGAGGTTACAGACACAGCAGTGAGAACATAGGAAATGCCAGGCTGAGTGATGTCTGGACAAACTTACTTGGGCCCGTCTGCAGACCTGATACAAACTTTTATTGGGCATTAAAGAATTCTTGTGTTTATAGCTCTGTGCTCACTTGCTGGGGAAGCCTGGAAGGAGTCTGATGAATGCAGCAGATAGTTTACAACAAATACGTTGTGGAGACCAACTTCAGCTGGAAGTCTGTGGCACAGTCACGTAGCCACACATCAATTCACCTCAGCAAGACTCTGAGTGATACACATGAGGAAGTGGGCACTTAAAAGGGGAAACTTTCCTCAGTTTTATACTACACTGTCACGCCAACCACTAAAATTAATTTCCCTTAATAACACTGACCACTGTTTGGACAGAGCCTGCCCAGGTGGAGAGACAGTTTCTGGATAGTGGGGGGCCATCGTTTTCCTTGGGCACACAGTGCACAAAGGAGGTTACTCTGTGCTGGAAGGGAGCTGCTGGCAGAAATGTCTCTTCCCTTCAGAACCGCAGTTAAATGCCCTTCCAGGAAGGGAGGAACAGAAAACAGATCTTCAGCCACCTTACCAAAGCTGTGGAAAAGAGTGTGATGAGAAAGAGAAAACAGGAATACACAGCTCTCCAAATATAGCAGGAGCTAACGTGACAGTGGGAGAGTCAGCACTGGAAGGTTCTTCATTTCTATCTACGGGAGATTAAGACATCAGTAGTACTGTACTTCAGAGCAGGTTGTGGAGATAGCTTCCCTCAAACACACAATTACTTCATTACAAAGAGTGGAAGGGCTTAGTTCTATTTTAGGGTGGCTTAATATAAAACACTTGTGATCCATGGAAGGAGAAATGACAGAAATATATCTGTGTCAGATGACTCTAGCTACTCTCATGGCCAAAATCTCTTATGTAAAATGGAACTCAAGTGCACTGAATCCCTTGTTATAAAGCTGTTACACAGACAGTCCCTATAGAAAGTGTGTCTCTCTGTTATTTCCCTGGCATTTAGCAATAAAGTAAAATAAACTACTTCATCTACACCAAGATATCTGGGCTGAGTCTGATCGTACTGAAGGAGTGGTATCACTTGGGTCATGAGACACAACAAGTGCTCTGGAGAAATCACTGCCACTCAAGACACATCCCGAGAGAACCAGCTGGCTGGTTTCAGACTTGTTCAAACCCAAAGCTACAGCATCAACCATTCCTGAGTCAGAACCAAAGCCTGGTTCTGACTGAGAACTGAGCTCCAGCCTCTCACTTCAAGCATTTTAAAACAGTCGGAACCTCACGTGCTCGTGGTAGTTGACATGGGTTATGCAAACAAAAAAGGAATCAAAAGTGACTCACCTGGTATTTTGGGCATTGTTCTTTTGGATCAGAGAACGAGGAGGATGAATTGATTGAGCTATCCAAGGAAGAAGAGCTGTCTCCTCCAGGCTTCAGTTGGCAGCATTTCCCAAACACTCTCACCTGAGCATCACTGCAGAGTTTCTGAAATAAAGACAATACATGTGACACACTAAGATCCACAACCTGAAATCACTGCTAGCAGCATTGTTACTTACCTGTTTAGGTAAGATATTTGACAGCTGAAAGGCTTATGCCCCAGAAAAACAGGTAAGAGAATATACATCTGTGCCTATTGCAGCCTGGCTGTACAAAGGAAAGCTGAGCTCCTTTAATTCCAATTAGCCTGGAGAAAACAGGCCATTCCAACTCCATTTTCCTGAGTAGCCATCCATCTCTGAAGCTTTACAAATTACATTTTTAGACCCAGGATTAGGAGAGAGGATGGCAGCAAAGCATTTCCAGCTGTCTTCACCCTGCTCCCCGTGCCTGTCAGGGCAGAGGTGACACAGCAGTGATGGGCACACAGAGAAGGAGCAGTTCTCCATAAATAATCAAGTAAGAGTAACACTGAATTCAGGAGATTCATATTACAGGGATAAGTGGAGAGAAAAGATCCTGGTTTCTACAGATCTCTCCCTAGCTGTGTATAAGCCCCTTAGCCTTTTTAAAGAGTGGCACAGAGGTGACACATTCCTCATGTTTTCAGTACAAGGGAATTGTGAGGTTGAAAATGAACAAAGCTGAAAAAGTTAGTGTTACAGTGATACCTAAAGATTTTTAGGTTTTTTGTAGATTGTAATATAGCTGTATAGTTTTCTTTCACTTTAGACAGTTACTAAAGTGTTTTCTCCTGGTTTGTGCTACTTTCCAATGAATTTCTGTTTAACAATTTTTACAAGAGATTTTAGCCAGGACATCGTGTTTGGGATGTGCAACTGGACCAGAATAATGAGATATATTGTAGTCAAAACAAGATAGAGGGCCCAGAACCCTTGGAGGGGCTGAGGGTGGTACCAGGGGCAAAACGGTTTTTGGATGTACCCACTAGATATGGAAATTAGTTAAAAGTTATAGAAGTGTGAGGATTCTCTGTGTGTGTGTGTGCCCATGTACTCCCTGCACCTGACAGCCTTCATTAAAGAACTGCTCTCTGCCTTCCCTATATTTATATTGTTTGGAGAATTTTTTTCTTCCATTTTAGGCATCAATAAAGAAGTCAGAAAAGTTTCACAAAATTATGAAGAATCAATCCACAGGGTGAATTCTGATGGAGATTCAGACAAAGCACAGCAGAAAAGGGAGTTTGGAGGGCCCAGCTGGAGCTGAAGTACAGGATGGGCAGGATCTGCATCCACTCCCCACACACAGTATTATCAATCACTGGTACAGGAGGTGCTCCACTACTGTTTCATTCACAGTTTTAAAACATTTGTGATTTCCCTTGTGAATCTCAGCAGCCCAAGCAGAATCAGCATCCACATAAGTTAATGGTGTTTATACCAGCACTGGCATTGCCAACCCTCTTCACCTAAAGATCTCAATGTATTTTTCACACACTCGTTACACTTCAGCACACCCACGTAAGGTTGGCATTATTTACATCTGCTGGTGGGCAGCACTAGGAGACAGAAATAGCCTACACTGCTCAGAATTCCATACCAACTCTGCCCTGAGACTTCCTCAATTAACATTTCCTACACAATCAGCAAACCAGTAAGAGCAAGCTGCGAGTAAATCCTGCTGGAAGCAAGATTCAAGGGACAGATGGAAACCCAGAGCTGCTGTTGTATGTCACAGCTTCACCTCTGGACTCACCTTTCATCACCTCTCCTTTCAGCCAAAAACATTAATATGCCTCAATCCTTAATAGCTATGTAAAAAAGGAAAATGCATAAAGAAAAGTGTGAAATAGCCAAGGCACAGGGTGGTAATTCCATGACTCTGCTCAATAATCAGGAACAACTGTACAAAAAGATGACTGGTTTTACTGCTGTGGATGGATTTTGAGGAGGGACATAATGGGAATCCCATGCCTCTCTCCCAGGTTGCCCAGGTTACTTTTTTAGGGAGAGGTGACTGTCATTTGTCCCTAATTGTGGGTGAGATTTAGCAAAGCAGCAGAAAATGTCCAGGATTACTGAGCCCCACGTGGCAGCCTGCACTGCTGCCCCCTCAGAGAGCTGCTGCCACAGAAAGCCTCAAGGAAAAATGTGCAGAGAAATCAGTAATTCCGTGGCAGAGGGAGGGGAGCGTTCCCTGCCCACCCAGCCCTGTGCTCTCCTGACACATTGTAATATCCTCTCCTTCCAACACCCCGGGGAGCAGCTGAATTCCTGCAATACGTGGATTTGCTAATGGCTGCTGAGGATCTGTGGCTTGAGCACAGTGCACAATGGCTGGAACATGTGAATGATCATCATATGACTTCAGTAGGAACTCGTGAACTAGAATTGCATTTTATCTCTGACACAAACAACAATGTCCTAGGCTAGGCAAGCATCATGTGATAAAACCACATACAATCCACAGGGTTACAGCAGCTTTTGCAGGCAAACCACATTTCAGCTTGCATTTTCCATCAGATGTTGAAAGTTCCTTCTAAAAAGTTACAATTAGAACTAAGCTTCCTTGAGAATGAAGAAATGCATTTACTGGCTTTTTTCTCTGCATTAAAAAGAATAGGCTAACTTTGCAAATTAATTACTTTAAAATCATTTATTCTCATTGTCACTGCATTTTTCTGCACAGCAGCTTTCCCCAGATCCACTGGGGAGTCTGGTAACTTGAAGTAACAGTGGCCTAATTTAAACAGCAAACCAGGAAAATGGCTGTTTGGTCTTTGCAGTGGAGTTTAATGAACCAAAACTACTGCAAGGAGTCTTTAAAGCAGGTCAGGGTCTTTCAGCCACCACTTTTCAGAACCTTGCGAACAGTAAATCCCTCCTAAAATGTAGATCATGCATGAATTTTGGTGTCTGCTCTCTTACAAACTTAGCATATGCTCAAGAAGAACTTGTTGGACAATGAGATCAAGTACCTGCAGTGACTCTCTCCTCTGCAATTTCTGACTCCAAATGCCAATGAAATTTTAGATGCTACAAATCTCAAAATATTATACATCAAAGGAGTGGGATTACTTGCATTCCAATATAATAGTCCAAAGATATTCAAGCCAGGTTTCCAAGAATAAAAAGGTAACCTAATTATTTAAGAACTGTACGAGGGAAAGTTTCAAAGTTGTGAATTTTCTTTCCAATTAGACACAGTTGCACCAAATCAGCTCCCCGGGCAAGGTGCTGCCAGAGTGCTCTGGAATGCCCTGTTTTGCTGGAGAGCAGAACATCTGCTGGAAGGATGCCGTGGATCCTGGCTGCCACACTGCTCTCCCTGCTGGGGCCACACTCTGTTCTCTCTCTGCCAGCTCACTGCAGATACCACCCAGCTCCAAAGAGCTCTGCCAGTCCCAGTTCTTACATTAGAGGTCATGGGTTGCTGAAAGTCTTGGAGACCTATCAGGTAGTTCTGAAGATAACTTAGAGTAAAATGTCTCTATAGTATGACGGGGTACAAAAGAGTTTTCTTCCTCAGTTCCTCTTCTGGAGTCTTTTTTCTCCACATCTGTCAGCAAAGACCTTTGACTCTTTGCTACAAGGTCAATAATCTCCTCAATAAGTGGAAAAAACATGCCCGGTGCTGAATTTCTGCTGGGCAGGTTCTGGTTTGGGGATAATAAGAAAGTTGAAAGGAGCCTGGTGTGTTGAACTAAATCAGACTGTGTGTAGGTGTGTTAGGGCTGTGAGTGACAGGAGGAAAGAGAAATGTCATCCTATGCTTTATTCTTTTCTACCTCTCTGAACAGCAGGTGCTCAAATACCACTGTGGTGGCAGTGATAGAGAAATATGTGTTTCCAAGCCAAGTTGCTACTCTTCAAGAGCTCTGTACCTCATTTCCAGAACAGGTTTTCCAGCAAAGCTGAAAAATTATTCTGAAACAGATAAATTAAGTCTTCTGCTTTATTAATATCTGTTAGTCTGAATGTGCAATTAAATGTATGCATCCACCTAGGACATGGGAGTAACCTGAACAGGCATTCATCTGTCCCCTTCAGTGCTGCTGTAAAAATCCAGGTATCTTTCTTAAAATGCAGCTGTCAGTGCTGCAATCTCCCTTTATTTCCAGAGTTGTCAAGTTCCTCTATTACTCAGAGGTCACTGAAAAAAGTCAAGACAACCCTGTGCTCCCCCACTCCACTAGTATTTTTCCATTTCTGTTTAGAGAGAATAAGCGGAGCTAAGAAGGTGGGACTTGATCTCTGTGCTTACAGCTTTATCCATCTGCTCAGCCTGGCTCAGTGGAAACCTGTCCCGAGAGCCAGACAGAGTCCAGAGTCTCCATTTCACACAACTCACCTAAAAGCAAAAGGCTCACTATCCAATTACTAATCCTTCAAAGCAATTTGCTGTTCAACATTTATCCAGTGCTGAAGTATATTGGAACACGTGGCTAATCCTGGCTTGTTTCAACCAGCATGCCACTTCTCTACTTTGGGATAAATATGACATTTGGAGTAAAAGAAATTGCCGCTGTAGGAGATCAAATATCATGTGACCTTTCACTGAAATTATCCTGAATATAAAGACAACTAGGTTACATGGAAAAAGTGAACTTTCCACTCCCCAAACCCAAGTTCATTACTGCACCTCTAGATCTCAAATTCCACATCCCAGGTCGCTCTTTCTCTTTCATTTCTTCAAAAACCCAAAACTAACACTGCTTCTGAAAATCCCCTTCTGCCTCTGGGTCCTGGCAACAAGTCACTGCCCTTCTCTGATTCCTTGTCTTTCCCTCTTTCCTGCCACACACCCAAAGTCTAGAGCCCTGCTCAGCACTGTGCAGTTTGGCTCTTCCTTTCCTTCCTCCCTCCTCTTCCTCATGGTCCCTGGACACCCTTCCTTCCCCCCTGGACTTCACACCTTCCTCTAGGCTGATCTTTAAGCTTAGGAAATCTTTTAGCTCTCACATGTCCATCAGCACCTCTCTTCAGCCGGACCCCAAATGGTAACCACGGGGTCATAAATCCCCAGTGGACAACACGTGAAGGAAAACAGTAAAACGAGACAATTAATCCCTGTCCCTGAGCTCTCCCTCTCTGCTCCAAGGGACACTGTGACACAAGGTTCCTCTTCCCAGCTTTACTTTACTCCCCGCTGCTCTTTTGTGGCACCATTTCCATGGCATCCTTATCCCAGTCCACTGGCGGCCCTTGGAGGCAAACTCCTCATCCTTCAGCTGGCCTGTGCACAGGGGCATTTATGGGGACACAACTCAGCACCACACAGGGCTGGAAAGGGCAGCCACTCTCTTCTAGAACATCCTGGAAGAACTCAGCTATGGGAGGTACCCAATTTTCTGATGCTTGGGAGGCAGCAGCCTTTCCCCTCTGCTTCCAGAGCCCGGCTGATCAATAGCCCATCCCCTGGAAAGGCGGGGAAGGACCTCTCCTGCTCAGCACCAAAAAAGGTATAGGACTCACAAAGGGGATCTCTCTGCCTCCCCCATGCCAAGTGCCCACAGCTGCCCAGGGTGGATCTCTGCCTGGCCTGGTGCAAACGCCTGGCACAGCCCCGGGCCAACATTCCGGGTGTTGGGAAGAGCTGCCAGCCCTCCGAGTCACCAGACTGCTGCTCAGCTTCCCTGGCCAAGTTTAACTCTAACAAAACCTGGGGAAAACACGACTTCTCCCGAGCAATTCAAATATTGTAATGGCCATGCTGCAAACTCCGAGCTGCCTTCAGTGTCCTGCTCTGCAACACCCTCTCCAAATTCTTGCTTACCTAATATTTAGCTTTACTGAAGACATGAAGAGGCTGATTTAATACCCAATGAAAACACAAAGTCTTTATTTGTGTTTAGTCACATTTCCCTCATGGATAAGATGAACCTAGTAATGCTTAACTAATTAGAGCCCCACTTGGTGTGAGCACAAACTCAGCAGCTTTCACTCATCAAAAATTCAGAGCTCACTGGCTTATTTCTTGAAGCATCTGAGTCTGGAAAGGTTTGCTCTGATGCTCCTTAAATTTTACAACCATACCTTCCCTTATAGAACGCAAATGCCTGAGCCATGTTCAACCTTGGTCCACTGTACATATCTCTTGACATATATAGAGATTAGATACATAAAACAGACCAAAACATATCTCACCTTGCTGCAGAGGCATACAACTCTTAAATTATAATTGCTTTCATGTCTCATGACAACAGAAAACGGGAACTGAAGAGCACAGCAACATAAAGCAAACTTTGATTCTCCACATTAGACTGATTAGCCTTCAACCAGAACAGTCTGGGCACTGACAGGCACTTTAGCAGATCTCCCCCCCACCCTCAGTGTTATTGGTAAATCCAGAGGTATAAATCCTGTTGGGAAATGTCAGGGGGAAGAGATGCAGAAAGCATTGGCTTTTGTGGGGTGCTGAACAGACACCCTTTGAGAAGGGAGAGTGCCCAGCCCACACACAGCTTGCTGCAAAAGGGCAAGGGTGCCTTGGAATGTGCTTAGAGCCAAGATCTGGCTTTGTATAGGCAGGGTGTGTCTTTGGTAGGAAAATCATGATAAAGAGCTAGAAAAATAAACAATGCAATTCCTTGAAAATGGCCAGTACGTCCTGCTGGCTGCACAGGCCTGTGCTGAGCTCACAGCGAGCCCAGCCGAGGACTCTCCTGCATGTTTTTACCTGCAAAGTTTTGTTTTACGAGAAAAGTTTTGCCTGACATGACATTATCTGAGTACTTGCAAGAAGGCAAGTATTGTAGCCAGCAAAGGTTTCAATATATCCTCTTTCAAAGTCTTCTAATACTATGAGAAAAAAGAAATATATCAAGTTTCTAGAGATGAATTCTGGATATTTCAAGTGCCCTGGGAACAGTTTTCTCCACCAGTATCATGTACTCACTTCACAGAGATGGTGACTACAGCTGTTTCCCTCCCCCTTAGCAAAGAAAAAGAAAGGAAAGATTAATATGGAACCATATCAGCTCCATTATCAGCCATTTATCCTCTTGTTGAGTTGCCAATGAACTTTCTGAAATAACCCAAACCAGTGAAGTTTGCAAGTTCAGTGTGCAAATACACAACTTAAGGAGGCTTTCAAGAAATTAATATAAATATGGCAAGAGGATTTACACCGTACATCTTTTTTATTAAGGAAGCAATACTTTATAACTAATGAGGTAATAGTGATAAGCACAGACAGCAATTCATACCAATAAACCATTTGTAAAGATCTCTTGTCTTTAAAAACCTGTTTTCCTGGCAAGAACACCCGAAAGAACAAGAACTCATAAAACCATTCTAACAAGTTCAAATTAAAAAGAAAGATGCATTTTTTTTCAACATTTGTGAAACTTGCTTTGCTTCAAAAATTCTCTGTAAGAACTAGGAAACTGGGATCTTGATTCATGGCTATAAAAGCACTGGAGTAAGCAATGGAGAAGCCTCCAAGTTTGTGCCTGATAAGACACCAAGTGACTTCAGAGGTTTGAGTATTGGACACAGGCAGCACCCAGGACCAGGGTGAGGAGCATCAGGCTGGCAGCTCTCAGCTAGAGGCTGGAAGAGTCTGCAAAGCTGGATGAACAATCTTCTGGCTGTACTCCAATAGCCAAAGGAAAACCAGAGCTTGGGGTAATGTGTCATTTTGTGTACTCCTGCTTACAGAAGGACCTCAGTACGTCCTACAGGTAAAAGCAACTGGAATCATAAATTTCAGTTCACACCATGCTTTCTGCTTGCAGAGCTTAAAATGGTTTGTGGGTGCTTTTAGAGATGGTAAAAAGGAAGTTCAAAGCAGCGAAATAAGTTGTCCAACCTCACACCACCACTTACAATAGCACTGTGGCTAGAAATTAATCTTCTGGCCAGAGCCCTTAGAAGGAAGTATCCTCATCTGACCGCATCCATTACAGTTTCAACTAACAGATTACCATGCAAACCATGCCAAAACGAAAAACAGAGGAAAAGTTTTCAAGTAACTTTGTGGGGGAAAAAAACTGTCAGCAAAGCATACAAACAACAATTGGCAAAAGCTAAACAAACAGGACACAAGAGGACACAGGACTGGGAGGACCTTCTGATTATGAATGCAGAGCCCAGCACAGTACAAAAGCAGGTCCATAAATACCAGTTCCTGCCCTGCCTCAACCCCCAGCACTGCCTGCTGCAGCCCCAGGAAGGAATCCTTCTCACTTTCTACCAGAAAGTAGATGAGCCCCAGAACACAGGGATCACTACAGTATTTAAATCTGGTAAGAGTGAAATTACTGAAGCCTGAATAATTTGCAACTTAACAGGCATTTAAATATAGCCCTGCATATAACCAACATTTAAATGTCAATGTGAAGAAAACAAACACGTGTGCTTTGTCAATCTGGCCCTCTGAAAAAAACACCAACTATAAACACGTAAATGGGCAAAATACTCACCGACACTGAAACATCCTCGATTTTTCTTTTAGCACTGGAGTCAAACAAGACATTCCGTCCCCTCCTCTCGCAGTCCTGATACACGATCAGCCGGATCTGGCTCGGGTCAAACTCCGGCAAAGGCCAGCTTTAATTAAAGAAGAAAAGAGCAGAAGGATCAATTACCACAACTCTTTATTACACTGTTATTTCTACATTATCTGTATATACAACTTGATTAAAACATAAAGTCAAGCAAATGCAATGCCATTTCATCAAACCCTTTGATGCTGCAGCCAGAACTATGCCTTTTGGGTTTTTTTCTTTCCCCTACACGTGCCAAATTACACTGTCATAAACTCCACCAATCCACTACAACCACATAAAACGTTCTCTGCAGCATTAATAGATCTTGTGCTCTGTCTTGTGATATGTTTTCCTCAAGTTTCAGCTATTTAAAATCAAAGTCATAGAAGAACTCAGCTTTTGTGTTGGAAGACAAAAAAACCCCACCAAGAATAATAATCACAGGATGGTTTGGTTTGAAGGGACCTTAACCACCTAGTCCTCTCCACTTAGGCCACTGTGACTGCAGGCCATGGTCAGCAAACCACACCCAGCAGTCCTGACACACCTATTCCCAAACTGGTTTTGCATTCAATGACAAGGGAAGGAGCTTTCCTGAGCCTCTGCCTTCCCTAGTGCCACTACTCCAGAGCAGCTCTGCAAAGGCAGAACTTGCAGGGCTCAGCCTTGAGAATCACTGCATCATCTTGCCTTTAAGGGTGCTTTGTAGCCATCATCTCGAGTTTCCATTTTAAAAAGCCAGCCATCACTTTAAAGCCCACCAGGCATTGTTGCCCATTGGCTTGGGAATCCATTTTCACTGATACCTTCTCTGTTCTTGGAAGATAGGAAACAAGACACCTGCTCTATCCATGAAGCCACCAGGAATCATCTTTCAGCTAGTTTACGAGCCACTTCCTAGACCAAGTGAAATTTTAGCTTCCTTATCCTTGGCTTTTAGGCAAGCAGCATTAGCATGAAACCCCAAGAAGCCAGAAACAAGGTGCTGGAACTTTCCAGCCATTAGTGAAGCACACAGGCTCCCAATTTACAAGAAGCAGCTGTACATTTATTTCAGCAAAAAGACACCCATAATATGTATTAAGGTAAACCTGGCATACTAGACTCCAAGACAACAGGGAATTTTCCCCTCTAACTCACCACCCAAAGGGTTTCCTCCTCTGCACCCATGTTTTATGTGACTAATACATCAATGATGAAGTATGACCCAACCACTCCTATGACAGCAGAAAGTCAATTTGATCACCAAAGTCATCATTGCCTATCAGAAGCTTTTAAGACTGCCCCGTGTAGGTACACAGGCTTTACAACCACCATAGTCCAGTGAGGTGAAACTAAGCATCAAGACATGCAGTTATTCAGCCTCCTGACAGAGGAAATCCATTTCCTAATCAGCCCAGCCCCACCATTTAGCAACAGGAGAGAAAAACAGAAGCTGCTGAAAAGCCGGTGTGCAACAAATGTCAAAATCAACTTGTTACAAGAAAAAACCTTGAGCAACTTGAAGCTGAAATAACTTGATGTCTAGATTTGGGGTCAAAGAGCCATGCACCTTCCCATTTGGGCACCTAAAGCCAAGTGTCCTCAGCAGAGGGACATGCCCACAACAAAGAGCAGACACCCAACTGAGCAAATTCTGTACCAAAACCCAAGCACAGTGAAAAGAGCTCAGCTTACATTTACTGGGGTCTCTGCTAAATGAGCCCCATCTTGCATTTCATAAAATGAAAGAAAACAAAATCTCTGGTTTTATACATGTCTGGGGTGTTACCAACCAAGAGGCTTGAAGGCACTAATGCTGGGGGATGGTAACTGGTAAGAGCATGACTTTGGCTAGAGGTGAGGAGAACCACTGGCTAAACTGGCTTCCTGGGAGAACAGCCTCCATATATTTAAATGAAATCAGGGGAAGTCCAGAAACTAATATTTTTTTCCAGACAGGCCACCGTGGTTCCTATAAAGAAGCAGTGTGTGACAATAACAAGGACTTGCTGGCCAAAAAGGTGCTATCACTTGCTCCACCCTTGCAACGCATTTGAATTTCCTTCACACTCGGACAAAAGCATGTCTTCCATTACCTAGTACTTTTGATATTTGACTTTGAAATTACTGGCAAAGAAGGGCAGTAGCTGTTCCAGATCTTAGGAAAGTCTACTTATAAAAAGCTCCAAGAGCAGATTACACACTAAGAGGAGAGAAAGCTAAATATAAAACTCTTGGTGTATTCAGAAACATATCTGATCAAGGTAACAGGAGCTTGTTTACTTCTCAGCTTCTTCACATGACATTTTAACTTTCTCTAGACAAGCATTTAGTAGCTATTATCCATCATAATTTGTGATAATTCCAAAGAAGCGTTATCTCTGTTACATAATAGCATCCTTAAGCACATTTCAGCCTTGCAAAAACATTCCCTGGCAAGAGCGGGCCACTTCCCAAAGCAGAGGAGCCTTTCCGAGAGCTGGGGGAAAGTTCATTTAGGCAGACAGTAAACAGAGGCAGCCTGGCACCTCCGACTCACCCCCGCCGGCCAGGGAGAAGCAGGACACAGAGTAGCTTTGCTTTTGTTGTTAGCAGGTTTAAAATACCGTTAAGCTTGATATCTGCATAGATTATCCCCAGAAACAGAGAAATTCCTGCATGCAATAGGCAGGGCGCGTTCTCAAAACAAATATACCAAGGGCAGCACTCCAGCCCTCCTCTTCAGGCAGATGAAAACTGACCTAGATCTTCTGAATATAATTAGTTCTGTTTATAAATGGAAATTAACTTTGACATTTAACTGATGTTTTCTTGAGATTCTTACAGGAAAACCAGGAGACGGAGAATCAGATGTTCTGGCAATGTTAATGAAAGGTGAGTCTCCATCTTTCGCCCTGCTCTGGAAACGACAGTTTCTTAATGAGGACTTTTTCCTGCCTGACCTGTCTGCCATTCTTTGATCTTTCCTTGAATCCGATTAGAATTAAAGGAAAACACAAAAACAAATCCAGAACAAAAACACACAAAAACCACCACCAAGAAAACCCCAAATACCAAAGACATTTTCCACACAACGCTGTGAGTTCATGGAGGGAGAGAAAAACTAAAAACTAATTCCTTCTGAGCAGGACACTGCTCCTGAGAGATCTCCACTACACGTGGGGATTCTTCTAGAATGACATGTCCAAAAATACCTGTATGGGGTAGGAATCTCTTGATGCATAAATGCTGTATCAGATGTCTCAGAAACAAATCACATAAACCCAGATCTCACACCGTGAGAGACGGGTCAAGGTTGGAAGGGATTTCTGGAGTCCAAACCCCCTGCACTGATGCTAATGCAAGTACGAAGTGCAAAAGGAAGGAATTATTTGGGACAGAATGGAAAACTTCCACATGATTAATGATGAAATTATTAGAAACTAATAATAACAAAATCAGGGCCTGAAAAATGATATTTTAATGCATGTTTACACTTAAGCCCTACTGTTGTTCAGCTCTTCACCTCTTTCACCCTTTTTGTTTTCCTGCCTTTTTTACCTTCAATCACTAGGAATATTACCTGTAGTTTACATTTATAGATCCATGACGTGCTTCCTGACACCTGTACTGTAAGATTCATGGCAATCCAGAGCTCCAAATGCTCCCCAAGGATGGATTTTCTTGTGTATCCAATTCCTGGAGTTTACTACTGCCATCGACACTTCTCAGCAAGAACTGAGTGACTGTAAATTGGTATTATTTCACTCTGGGCAAGTTTTAATAGATGAAACGACAGACACAGTAATCCTTCATTACCCCTCCATCAATTAAAATACAGGACTTTCCCCTGTAACTGAATGCAAGTACACCCCTTCCTCTTCATTCCCACTTTCAATACAAACAGTACTTCTTCATTGCATGCAAGGTTTAGCTTAGTATTACTTTTTCTTCTGCCTGAGACTTTAGTTTTAAAACTATTTCATATTAACACAGCTTAGATAGTACCAATCATTTTTTAATAAACACAGATATTTTAGAAGTCATAAAGAAAACCAGTTGAGGCAAACTGATCAAGGTATTAAGAAGATAGGAATTGTAAAAGAGTTTTCTAAAAAGTAAAGTTGCTCAAAACCAGAACGTGACTAAACATTGAAAAAGTAAGTTGAAACTATCAAACTATTGTTTTCCTACATCATGTTACCCATAGTTATAAAAATTGCCTGGTGATGAATCACTTGGAACTATTTTTAAGTGCATCTACGCAAATGATATTTATAGTTTATGCCAGCTTATCTGTTCTGCGTGGTTTTCATGTTAGCACCTTTTTAGAGGGTGACAGAACAGCCAGGCAGAGCAGCCGGCGGGTCCACCTTGCCCCGCGCTCCCCTCGCAGGCTCCTGCTGGAGGAGCATCAGGACACAGGCACAGGGATCCCAGGGCTCATCTGCAGCTCCTGCAGATAACTCTCCATGGATTGTCATTGCTGCAGGTGCTCAGACCCAGCCAGCTTCCACACAAACACCTGACAGAGCCCATGCCTGCCTCGAAGAGCTGATGTAAACACAGGACTGTCCCCCTGGGTGCACTGGGATTTCAGATGCAGGTTATCTCCATGTTCCACACCAAAGCATGCTCACCTGGACCTACACAGCCCAGTATAATTTAGGATCCTGCAGTTGCTTTGTTGTAGGGAAGGGTGATCAGATGCAGAAGGAAAATGGTCCTTGCCTAGTCCAGCCACCATATCATACTCCTCTCACCCCTGACTGAGATGCCTTTTCCAACAAGGAATTCCTTCCTCCTGCCCAAACTCCTCTGTAGATTTCTATTCTCTTACTGGATTTTCTCTCTTTTGGCTTTGAGAAGATACAAAAAAAGTCAAGTATATAGGATACCTGGAGAAGGTATTGTACATATTTTAATACCTCCTTACTGCATTTAAATAATTCCCTTATTATTTGACCATTATTGTACAAAAACAGCTGCACAGACCGTTCTGAAAGAGCACAACTAATTTGGAAGACACAAAAACAGAACTGTACTGTATGTTAATAAAGCTTCCACCTTTGAAGACCATCTCTTTTTAGAGGTATGGGCAGGTTATTTATTTTTTTTAGCAATAACACCTGAAACACAAAAGAACTTTCTCAGGATTCACATGACAAGGATGATCCAGGCAGCACTGCCAATTTGCAAAGTTGGCATTTTAAGAGAGAGATTCCACTGAAGTGCTGGTGACATAACACAACCATAAGGCTATGAGGAGGAAGAAGATCCCTAAAGCAGGGAAACCACGGGGCCCACACTTAGCAAAAATTTTGCAAGATAATTGTCTTTACGAGAGCTGAGGTCACGTCAGGGCTGAGTGACTGGTGGTGAACACTTGCTGATTCTGCACAGAAAACCAGCGACTGTGCCTGGCCAGGGCCAGGGAGGAGCCCTCGAGGGTGGATTGCGAAGCAGCTCGCCCAGCGCTCGGGTGACACTGCCCTCTGCCACCGTGACCTCAGCCAGGCTTTCGCAGAAGTCACAGGACCTGTGTTCTGGATAGCCTGGAAGAGCAGACACATTCTGGATGGCCCCAGGGACAGCCACCCTTGACTGCTCCCAGCGGGGACACCGTTTAGGTTTATCACACTGGAACAACGTTTCTTTGCCATAAATTAAATCCAAGCGCTCCCCTTTTCCTCTCCTGAAGGAGGATGACCTGTCCACAGGCACGGCAGAGCTGTGGAGGTCAGCTCCCTGCTCCATCCCTAAGTCTGGCTCAGTCATTTACCAGCTTAGCAATCCTCACCTGGAATAGCTGCACTTCTTGAGCTCCGGGAAACTTGTGCTGCTTATCCTAAGCACATACTGTACACCAGGCACAGAGTGCATCAGCCAGGTATGTCACAGGCAGTAAATAAACCTGGACTTCAACTGGCTTCCAAGTTCCTTGGCTATGTCCAGTTCTTTAACTGTATACGAAGCTGACTTTAGCTTGTTTTCATTTTTTTCTCCCTTCCACCAAGTCACTTGACTCTCATTAAGATACCTAATTTATACTCTAAAGTCTAATAGATGAGCCAGATGCCTTTCCACAAGCAAAAAGACATAATATTTACAGGTTAAGTGCAGCCTAGTCAATACATTAATCATAATCTGGAGTGTGATATTGAAAATAAATTGGTGGGAAGGTTTTGTTTAAGATGTGCAGCATGTTGAGTAACTTTGCAATTCGCACAGCTTCAGAATTTACAATCGGTATTAGTAATTTCATAAAATATTTTTCTGACTACCTCACGTCATTTTAAGGATCACCTGCTCAGCTTTCAGCTGATTTAGGCAAACATATGCATGCAAATATTTGCACATACACACACAAGCTCCATGCTCTTTTGAAATACCTGTTTTAATTAAAACCACACACAAACGAGACAGCTCATTTCAGTTAAATTCACTAGCACTGAACACAATGTTTTACATTATTCAAGCAGACTGCACTTCCCTTTGCAAAATTACAACAGATAGAATCAATCCAGGGAAAAAAAATCATTCGTGCCGTTTAGCATGAAATTATAATAAAAATCATTTAAAAAATTAAATCTGTAAAAGTTTCACGTATCCGGAAAAGAAATATTTTCATCACAGGGAAAATAATAAGCTTTCGAAAAATCAAAATAATCTCAAGAAGTGTGCAGTGACCGTACCTGGGAAGCATCTTTGTCCCCCGAGCAGTTCCACTTTTCGAAATCCCTATAAACTCCTGTTGTGCCCGGCTGCCAACTCAGGTTAATAATAGCAATGAGCCATATTCATCCAAAACCACAAGACTGTCAGGTGACATATCAAGAGGTCTGAATTTAACTCAAACAAAAGACTCTCCATGCTGCAGTGCAAAAGGCTTAATCCTAGCAACAGGATCACAAAAACCACCTTAAGGGCAGCGGCTCCGGGGTTGCC